TAAGTAATGGGTGGTCCTGGGTGGATAAGCTTATCTCTAACTGGTGGTGCCTATACTAAGTCTGTAACGACAATTATTTACTCCGGTTTTTCATTTCCTTCAGCTAGCACGTAAATTGATTGATTGAAAGCGCAGATATAGCAAATACTAGGCTTTCACAAAAGAATTATCTTTTTTGTACTCAATTACTTCCGGCCGGCTGTGATAAACATGAATGCATTTGTTGCACGAAACCCACTCATTACATTTTTCACACGCCTTTATAAGCTGGTTCAAAATGTATCAATGATCAAGCGCCTTTCAAGCCATCTACACGCACGTGTTTGAGACATATCAAAGATACAAAGTATACGAGGGTTTTACAAATCGAAAATAGTTGGAAAGAGAACAAAGCAGATCATCATTGACAACGCCCAGTGTCCGACCATTTCTTTGTTAGGCGCCAACAAGACTTCGTTTCATTGCGACAAAACTGGTAACAAATTAAGATCAACAGCTTAAGAGCTAAGAGCATCTCTCAGAAACGTGCAAGAATTCAAAAGAATTCAGCTAAATATAACTCTTAATTGAGAATGACTGAAGAGATGTTTTCATCTAAAACAATGGAAAGAAGTTCAAGCAATTAAAGTACCACCCTACTTGTTTTATTTCTTGGCATATGTCAATGGAATATAAATTTGTGTGTTAAAACCCTAATCGAACCACTATGAACAACGATCACTTTTATACATTAATCAATGTTTTCGGGGTCACAAAAATAAGGGCGTTCTAAAATCATGTCCGATGTTCTACAGATAATATTGAATAAATATTTTCGTTGCATAAAAGACTTTGCTCAAGTTGCTTGCTCCGGACGCACAAAGAATTATTTTTGGTTACCCAAATGTCAAGGATATCACATCGCACAAATCAGATTATTTCATAGTGATGACTGTTTTATATGTGACTCGGTATTAAGCAGATAGGCTTGAAAAGAGATTACTTGGTAAAACAAGCCAGTGGGCACGGTCGCTTGTTCTCAAAAGTGATCCATCATCTTGTTTTAAGTTTTCCGAATAGAAGCATGAAAGATATTTGTAACTGTATGACGAGTCGAAAGAATCCTTATCAATCAAGTGTCCCCAAAACAAAATATGTACCGAAAATGTTTACGTTCGGCCGACACAACACGCAAACGGAAATTTTTAGGTGTCTCAAAACGTTGACAATTATAAATGTCTTCCGGCCATCAATAAACACAATGATTAAAGTAGTGCAAAGAAAAATACTACCACAGGGGACCGGTAATTATCGTCTGGGGGGGGGAGGGGACGTGAGGTTGGGAGGATTTTGGATGAGTCATAATAAAAATTTACCTGATCCCTTTATAGGGCTCTGTGATGTTCTTACAGTCGCCTTCTCCCTTATTGGCAGTTGATTTGTAGCCAATTTTCTACAGCCCCCCGTTCCCTATATACTTTATTGGCGACGACTGATCCCCCTTTTATTCCCCCTGAATATTTTGTGATCCACCCCCAAAGTCCTCCACCTTCCCCCCCCCCTACAGATCATTCGCAATGATCCTATAGACTTTCTGCCAGGAGCCCATGAGTTCTTGCTTTCTGCAACGTAACTAAGGAAAAGAAATACACAAGATCCTATCAAAACAATACGTTCCAGTTGTTCTATCCAATCAGAAAACTGACTCGTTAGCACGTTCGCCACAAGAGTCACAGCGAGTCTAGTGGGCAACTGACCCTTTAAAGAGTAAACGCGGGCTGGGTCTCAACTGGGAACATGTGTTGGTACCGATCCCATGGCCTTGAAACGTCAGGTGTACTGTATGCTCTGATTTGATCCTGAAGTCTCGTTATAGGATAATAACCTTTCTCTCATTATCCTCTCTTCATTCTCGTCATTGAACTTGACCCAGTTTACGGTATACATAACAATCGCAGCAATCAACGCCACGCCGCCTGTGACGTAAAAAGATACATTGTAACTTTTTGAGGCGTCAAAAATCCATCCAACCATGGGTGGGCCTAATGTTTTGGGGAACGCCATTAAACAATATAAAGCACCTATGGCATGCCCAACGTTTTTCACACCAACAATGTCACGCGTTATAACGGGCAGTAACATCTCGTAACAACCGTCGCACACACCTAACGTAAACGCGTACACGGCTATCCACTCATATTTCATTGCCATGGTTACAGCAGGCGTAGAAATAGCTATGCATAGTAAGGTGGCTTGACAAACTTTAACGCGGTTGAACTGAGGGTAATCACATAGCGCACCGAGCACCAAACTTCCCAGCAAACCTCCGATTGCTGAGTAACCTGTCAGGAATGACGCACTAGACTTGGTGACTCCTTTATCTTCTGCGAAGCGAACCTGAAAGATAAATCAGTGAGATGGTTAGCGAGCGAGACCATATCCCTACAACGCAAATAGTCACTGTTACCTGGCACAGAAAGCTAGAAAGAATGGAGGCCGATGAAAGTTGTGTGACCAACAACTTGCACGGGGAGCAGAACAAAGAGACTAATGTTAGCTGACAATTTTTAATTCCCCTCCTCCTTAAAATAAATCAGAACAGCAAGAAGCTTCGTCTTTGACTCGTAAAAATAATATTCATTGATCACTAGTAGCTCCGCTTGCTTGACGATCTTCCTCACTTTATTGCGGTCATGAAGGGCGTTCCAACCGTGACATTAGATTTATGTCTATTTATAACTTCGCAAAAGGTAAAATCAAGTTTTCCAAAGAATTAAAAAGATCTTACCAAATGGACGAAAGGCACAAGAAACACCACCATAAAGATACATTGAGCCACAACCCAGATAATATATGCTTTGCTCCTGAAAAAACTCAAGTCGAATTCTCTGTTACGCGGCTGTTGATTACTCCTTGTTACCGAGGAGAGAGGGGAAAACGTCAAGGCGCTCAGAAGCATGAAACTCTGAAGACCCGCAAGAATCCGAAACGTAGTTGAGATGCCAAATTTGGGAGACAGCTTCTCAATTGGGCCGTATACCAGAGTCCCAGATGCAGCTCCTGCCAGAGCTATTCCCGAAACAAGAGCCAAGCGCCTTTTAAAGTACTTCGTTAGGATTACCAGCGAGGGGAAAAAGCCAAGACTTGCCCCCAAACCCCAGACAACTCCATAGGTTACATAAAGTGGTGCAATTGTTGTTGCGAAGGAACTGGCTAGGAGGCCTGCGGCTGACACAAAAGATCCAATGATGACAACCAATCGGCTTCCGAAACGTTCCGCGAGAGAGGTGCCCACACCAGCGAACAGATACATCATACTGGACGCCAGCGAGGCAACCCAAGCTATGAAGGAAAACAAAGTTTCTCTTTTGACTGTTTGGTGTGAAATAATCAGCGATTGAGTTCCGCCAGCCATCTTATGTAGGAGCGCACTTGTTGGATTTACGCCCTTGGGATGCGTGCAGTGTGATTCGGGATAGAGAATTCTTGTGATCAGTTTCGGAAATCTCTGAGGGAAAGTTGTGTTGTAACGCAGTATCCTAACGCAATTGACTCATCTTAATCACTGGAAAATATAGAATAGTATATCTTTTACCTGTCTCTCCTCTTGATGTAGAATATTTTTCCATCAAAGCATCATAAACAACTCCTGCGCAATTTTGTTGTCCAACAGTCAGGAAGTTCACCATAAACACACCCAGACAAACGACCCATCCCCAACCTCCGTCGGGAGGAGGATCATTGTCATTTGTTTCCGTCACTTTCTGTTTTGAAGGTGCACTAGAAATATCGGACTTTTCTTCATAGTTGTTGCACGCCATTTTAACGTTTTCACTGATTGTTTTTAGTCTGAATTAACTGCAAAGATAAATTCACAGATCAAGAGTTAAGCCTATTGTGCCCCAGCAGAAGTTTATAGAAAGATTGCTTGACGATTTAAGTTGAATGGCATTCAAGTTGAGAACAAGAGAAACAAACAAGAAACTTGTTAACTGGCGTATGGTAGTTGAGAAATATATCTTTCAACAGTAGCCGTTTTTGCATTATTATTGCGCGAGCGTTAGCGAGCTTGACTTCCCGTGTGGGGCTTGGGCTCTATATGTGCGTTTAAAACATTACTTGTTCGGTTACAAGAGAGTTATCCATTTGTTGATTTATCATGTAACAAATCAAATATAGGTAAGAAATTGTGAAGAGATATTGTTAAAGCACCTAGAATTGACTTCAAAACAATTCACAATGGCTTGACGATATATTGTGCAAAATCAAATTTTCTGCAATTTTTTTTTGACGCTTAATCGACGGCCAAAAACGGTCCGAGTCAGGTCACGTGATGTGATAGTCACATGTGTACAAGGTAGTGAAAAGCGTCATGTCAAGACCTGACAGTAACAACTTCGACCCGCCTGTTCAATTGCTGCCCAAATTTACGAGCGAAAAAAATAAGATTCGTTCCATTCTGTTATAGGCCACCATTTAGAGACAACGAAATACGGAGTGAGAAATAAAATAACGAAGGCTGAATAATCGAAACGCGACGGATCACATGTTTGTATTCAGAGCCACAGGTAATTTGCACGCCATTTCAAACAGCTGTAAAAAAATATATGTTCCCATAATTTTTTCCTCTTAACCATTATCGAGTCCTATACTTGAAAAATGTTTTTTATTCCAAGCCGAAAAGTATTGACTTTAGATTTTGTCCGTTGTATATCACTGTGACGTCAGGCCCATCGGTTCTGGAAGGAGCGTGACTAAAGGAAGGTACGTCTTTTATTGGGGGTCGGGGTATTTTGGAAATTTTTTGCGAAAAAAATCGTGACCCTCCCACTTCCCAGAATGGATTAATGCACGACCCTTCGAAAAAACCCACACAAAAACATCTCACCCTCCCCACCACCTCCTCCGAGACAAACATAACCGGAAGAGAAAATAACTAACCGGAAGTGTTACTCACATTACCGCGTCTGTGTAAAAAGCAATTAATTGCGTGGCGTTGATTGCATCGTGTTAACTTGAAAATGGACAATGATGTACGAGGAATAGAAAGAGGGAAATACGCTTGTGGAGAATGCGAGGATTTCATGAGGTCAGATGGAACAACTTGTGGCTATTGTGGCTGTTTGCCGACACGCCTTTCTAAAAAGGATGCTTGCTACTCCTCTTACTCTGTTGGTGGCATATCGGGTTCGGGAACAAGTGAAAGTGCAAGTCCAGAGAAGTAGAAAGATGAAGATCTGGGGTGGTTCCCGAACCCAAAGGGCGAATAAACTGAATTCTCCAATAGTATTCTGCCAAAATTCTACCTGTCCTTTTGGACCACTTGTCCCTACAAGGAACGCTTTCGCCGCTGTTTCATGACTGAAAGAAAACGCCAGTGGGAAGTTCGCGAGGCGTTGAAAGCAATAAATCAAGGAGAAGAAGAAAGAGGAGACTGAAAGTAAGCGAATGGAACGGCTGAACCGAGAGTACAATGACATTGACTGGGTTGGACTGTACAACTCCGATAAGCTGTCGTCCTTGAGGGTGGACGAGCTATCCTTGTACTTTTCCATCACAAGATCACCTTCAAAGGGAAGAAAGCTGAAAAGGTCGCAATGATCAAAGCCCCCCACACACACCAATAAAAAACGTACCTTCCCTTAACGCAAGGTGTTGTTGCGTATTATGGGAGGTCGTCATCTGGTTTCGAGAACGAAACTCTTCTTCCACGTTCCGGAAATGTACAATATTTATCCTTTTTTGTTTTTTTTTAACGGAGACTAATGAGCAGCACAAAGGAAGACTTTTTAATGTTGTAACTTTTCGTTTATTTCTTTCGATGCGTCTCGTCTCTAACTCCAGGAATGATTACAGCTAAAATTGAGCAGCATGTTCATTTGTGTGCCTAAGTTTCGTTAACTTCCAATGGAAGTGAATAATAACAGAAACATGCTGCAAACGGATGTTACAAGAAACGCCTTGTTATGAGCGGTAACCGGTCAAGTCGCCTGAGAGTCATCTCGCCCGAAACCTGAGTCATGTTGCCCGAAATTTTAGTAATGTCGCCCGAGAAAAAAGGTCAAGCCGCCCGAAGAAACAAATACTAAAAAGATCAGAATTTCAGACTGTTAATAGGCAATAACGTTGAGAAATTTTAATCACTAAAGCGCTCTTTGTTTCCCACAACACCATGAAGATTCTTAAAGCGTTGTTCGTTCCTAGCAACAAAGAGAAACGTTGTTCGTTTCCAACAACAAAATGCAGCGTTGTTCGTTTGGTATGTAATCGTTTCTTACTCACGGACGTTTCGTAAGCTTGTGAAACTTTTTCTTGGTTTCTAACAATAATATGAAGACTTTGACTACACAGAAATTGATCGTATGCTCGGAATTGAATTATGTTTGAGTAACGACTCTAAAAGCGTTGTTCGTTTCTGTCTTAACAATAACAGATGAAAACACCTGGTAAACGAATGTCGATTGTCACGTTCGACAAGTCGGTAAAAGGTAAAGCGAGTAACATACAAATACAATTAACTTGTTGCCATGCGTAAGGTAAGTGTGATATTTTTAAGATAACAGTCTAATGTTTATGCTTGTGACTTTTTTCATAGTAGTAGTCTGTTAGCATCGTTTCCCTTAGGATCAGAATAGGAAAAAATTATGTAGTTGTGCTCTGTTTCCTCTGGCAGTCGCATGTATATTTTGATCCCATCAAAGTATATATGTAGAGGGTAAAGCTAGCTACAATACGAATACGAACTGATCAAAATGAACCTTCATCCTAGCATTGAGTGTGATGATGAAGTTAGACCACGTCAACAAGCTCTACAGAGCGACGATTACGGTCAATCATATGGCCTTTCTGACCATATGATCGATTTCTGGGAAGTCAAAGTCTTCATGGCTTTGTTAGAAACCAAGAAAAAGTTTCTCAAGCTTACGAAATGTCCGTGAGTAAGAAACGATTACATACCAAACAAACAACGCTTCATTTTTTTGTTAGAAACGGAGAACGCTCCCCTTTGTCGTTGCTCAAACATATTTCAATTCCGAGCATACGATCGATTTCGGGAAACATGACTCAGGTTTCGGGCGACTTGACTGTAAACCGTTGTGAGCACCGCGCTCAACCGTTGTTTCTCATTTGCGACTGGAAACATGATGAAATCAATCCTGTCCGAAAGGTCACTCGTTTCAAAAATGTACCAATGTCAGCTGAGTGAACAGTAAATTACTCGCGCTCGTTTATCGTAAATATAACAAGCCGACAGCTTGAGAGAGAAAACCATTCAAGCACATGTCATGGGACTACCTTGCACCTACCATTTAAAACGCAGTGCGCGACAAACTCGTGCTACGGAAATAACAAGCACCTAATGTTTCTCAAATGACGACCTGAACTAAAAAAAAAAATTATAATTAGCTACTTATCTTATTTGTATATAAGGAGGTATGTTCTTCATTGAAGAAAGTTCTGTCTGACGAGCGCTTAGCCGCGAAACTCAGAGTCACAGAGAATCGATGCGTCACGGGCTCTTGATCCTCTCCTGACTATCGCGCCCTTTTTTAGGTTACGTTTGTCCTGGCGATTCAAATTGCCAGGGCCTAATTTCACCAACAGGTTCATAAACCCTTTCATTATGTTGAACTTCCATCGAGGCCTCAAAATCCAAATAATCAGACCCCGAAATAGAACTGCTTTCACTCGAACTACTGTCCGCCATATTTACTTTGCTTAATGTACACACGTGTAAAGCGTAAGGTCACATGATCGAAATCAAAGCGTTTACGGCTGATGCCTCACGAAGCTGCATTTAGGACAGTTTTCCCAGCAAAAAAACGCACAAAAAGGCATACGAAGCACCTTGTATCTGTTTCAATGTGTTATCCGAGGCATTTAGACGGTATTCCGAAAAAGTGACTTGTTAGCCGTCAGTTACCCTTTAAACGGCTAAATTTGAAAATCCAAATGCTGGTTTGCTCAATACCCTGCTCCTTTTCTAATTTGTGTTGCAAGAGTACGGTCGAGTTTCATCTACAACAATTTACTCATATTGAGAACAAATAAGTGTTCTTACCCATGCCTTGTTCGCTTTTGCGCACGCGAAGAATTACGCCAGACAAGCTCTCTTCTAAAATTGGGTCATTGTTCCAGTAAGATCCTCACAATGCATCACAAGACACCCGAGGAATATCCCACGAGACCACGACTTAAAAGTCATAAATAACGTAATTGAAAAAATAGCTCGAATAAAAATCTTGTATGACTCGCAGGTTTATTTGCAATAACAGACAACGAATACCTTGCATGGATACAATGCCTTTAAAGTATTACCAAAAAAAAAAAAATAGTGATCGATTCCCACGATGCGGGACTGCCATATTATTTGGATTGTCGCACTACTGGATTGTCACGTAGTCACGAAAAATACCACAGCATTAATGATTATTTGCGTGAATTGTATCCTAGTTAATTATTTTCCCATGTAGTTAAAGCGGCTGAAATTCTTTACGAACTGATTTTGTTTTCAATTTGATGATAATGCGCGGTGGAATATTGAATGAATTTGAAAACGGGGCCTATTACAGTGCTTTTCGTTTACATAATTTGGTGCCGGCTCTAACTAGATGATGACATTCTTTTTGGCTCGGTCTGCGAAATCGAATTTTGTAAATTTTGTGAAATTTATTCTGGAGTTGCCAGACCTCCTATCGATAGCTCTTCATTACTATGCCACTTACCATATGATAATTAAGATTATCGACAGAACCACATGTCTTGTAAAAGACGGCAAATCAAGCCATTGATTGCTGTTTCTCTCAGGATACCAGGCAGGTATGTCAAAAACATATCCTTTCCTTTTGTAATTTTATACGAAATAGGAATAAATTGATAGCTGATAATTAATCTAAAACGGAGAAAAACTCCGTGACAACCAACTGTCTGAGATAATGCTCCGTAAGTAAAATTTGCACCGGCATTAGGATAAAACTAAACTTTCTCTCTGTGCAAGTCACGTGAAAAATACGCTGAAAAAAAAAAGCGGATGAAAAGAGGAATACAATATCACAGAAACTCAAAACGTACCTGAAAAGGAAAAGTTCGTTTTATTGTGCATAAGGCACTAATTCTGATGATTTTATTTATTAGGGGAACAAAAAACAGGCTAGATGCAAATTTAATTGCTGGTGGTGCGGGATTGTTTTGGTTGAAAAACTGCCAAGAAGGGAAAAAATTAAGTTATTACTTTGCCTCAAGACCCACAATTTCCGTTTCGATTTTAAAGATCCATTTCAAGTAGAAGTTCATCCATGCAAATTTCGTAAATAAACTTGCGTACTGATAAAACGTGGCAGGTTTGGCAGTTGTTCAGTCAGTTACTCTTTTAGTATTCCTAATAACATAGCACAAAACAATTATTTCTCAAATGACAGATTTACTGCCAGAGCATTTGACGTACAGAAACATTCAACCCAAACCTTTATCTATTTAAGCTCAAAAACGACGCCTTTTCTAAATTTCCTCAGGCGGTTTTCCATACTAAATCTACGAAAGTTCCATCAAAAAAGTGCTGTAATCTGATTGCCTACGCCACTCTCTCTTTTTCATAGTAGATAGTGTCCGAGAAAAGTGAATAACCTACCAGTGTGTGGTTGAAAAACAAAAAAATGAATAAAAAAACACGAGCCTGCCTTGTGACTAATTTTTAAACCACTGTTGCAAAAACAATGAAATTATTTCCTTTGATTTCTATGCGTGATAGTTCATTTTGGCTTCGCCCTCGTGAAGTATAACACGATTGAGTGTTCCTGTTGCCTGCCGCAACAGAGATAAGGTTTCTTTGGAAACCAACAACTTTCCTCGGTCTAGTGTCCAACGTTGAGCTTTTTGCAAGATGGTCAAGAGTTCGATTTTCATTTTCTACTGTGGTGATATATCTTTTGACAAGTAATGAGAGGTTATGTCTGCAAAAATGTGACTTGAAGGTTAAGTACAATGTCTTTAAAAAAAGAAACACTCGGACACGTTTAATTTAACAAGGATGGCAAGTTTCAATAAAAAAAAAATTGATGTATTGATGATGACGTAGTGGATTAACATTTTCACCTTCCTCGGAATGCCTGCAAGGATTTTCGTGTTCCTCTTCAGCAACAACCGACCCATAAACATTAACTGCCTCGGAATCTGCTAAATTAGTGGATTCGTCTGATATCATTACCGGATCAAAACGTATACTATTGTTTTAAACAGAATTATTTTGAGAAGCTCACCAAACTCCGCAGAGGCGCTATTTAAACGAAAGCGGCGGTTTAAAAAAAAAAAAACCACCGCGTTGCATCAAGGGTGGAAATGGGCCTTTACACGCTCTCGACTTGATTTTATTTTTCAAAATATCAATTAAGTACCAACCTTACGTTTGGGCACTGATCTATTCACGTTTGTTTATTCGGCTGTTTACATGATTCTGTTCAACTGATTCCAGCTGAGAGGTGACAGCCAAATTACTACTGCTCAACTTAGTACTGGGCCCTCAGGTCAACGCTAGAGCAAGGAAAAGGCGCTTCAGGTGGACTCAGGAGCACTTTTGCCATCCTCAGGAGAAGAAATATGAATTCCATGTCGGACATGACATCAGAAGAGAGGTGTCATGAAGTTTCGGAGGAAGACGATCAGCCAGCAGCTAATGTGAATCAAGTACATCACAAACCTCCGCCCGATGGAGGGTGGGGATGGGTCGTTTGTCTCGGAGCATGGATTGTTAATTTCTTAACAGTCGGGCAGCAGAATGCAGCTGGTGTGGTGTACTCGGCGCTTTTGAATGAATATTCCACAAAAAGAGGGGAAACAGGTAGAGTTGCTTACACATTCAACCAAACTAACAGTGTTCAGTTTTCTTTTAAAACTCAGTCTAGTCATTTTGTTTCTTTATATTTCGAAACGATTCTCCGGCAAACGGAAACTGAGATGTGAATCGATAAAAGCAGCATGTGTGCGCAATACAACGTTTGGTGGTTTTCTTCCCTATTTTGACCATCATCTCATTTTAATCGAAAGTCACTTTTTCTATCTTGAATTTTTTAAACTTCCCCTAAGGTCTGTCAAATAATTTTCTAGTAATTTTTGCACAACGCAAGACGTGACTCGATAAAGTGTGAGGTCAAAGCCTCCTTCTATTTTCGTTTAAGCAGAAGCTTCCGGTTAAGAGATCTCAAACTTGGACTATCTGACGTACAGAGTACACTTGAATATTGGAAATCGTTTAAAAATAATCGTGACAGTTTATGTAAAAGGTCGCTTTCGATTAAACCGAGTTTTACTCCTTGTGATTTCCCTCCAAAATCTGTTGGCTATATCCAATCAGAGTAAGAACTACATGTCAATTTAAAAACCTGATTGATAGCTTATAGGAACAAGCAGCTTTTTTTGACGGCCTGACTAAAAAGTCTCCATCGCGACATTCACAAAGTCTGTTATGTTGTTCTTTAGTCGTTGTCTTTTTACCAAGCCTACATTGATTATCCAGGTCTATCGTGTCATTTCATCGTCCACAGCTTTCAAACTCAACTTGGCCCAATGAGCATAGCCCACTATCTCTTGCAAAACCTTACTCTATTCCTTTCAATTGCTTGAAAGCGTTGAGGTAAAAAAATAAAACATCAGAACAATATTATCTTCCTAGATGGAAAAGTTTGACAATTGAGTAAATAGTCTATCATCTTTCTCAACAGCTTGGGTTGCCTCGCTGGCGTCCAGTATGATGTATCTGTTCGCTGCTGTGGGCACCTCTCTCGCTGAACGTTTCGGAAGCCGATTGGTTGTCATCATTGGATCTTTTGTCTCAGCTTCAGGCCTCCTTGCCAGTTCCTTCGCAACAACGCTCACACCCCTGTATGGAAGCTACGGAATTATATGGGGTCTGGGAGCAAGTCTGGGCTTATTTCCCTCGCTCGTGATACTAACAAAGTACTTCAGGAGGCGTCTTGCCCTTGCATCTGGGATGGCTCTGGCGGGAGCCGCGTGTGGCACCCTAGTATATGGGCCTGTGATACAACTCCTTGTATCAAAGTACGGGATTTCAGTTACATTTCGGATTCTTGCCGCCGTTCAGAGTTTTATGTTTATGAGTGGATTGATATTTCGACCTGTGGAGAGCCATAAAGCCTGCCGAGACAGACAAAGAGAAAACGACGGCAACATTTTCAAGAACAAAGCGTACGTCATCTGGGTTGCTTCGCTTTGTGTGTTCATGCTTGTGTTCCTCGTGCCTTTTGTTCATTTGGTAAGTTAAGCAGACAGATAAATTGTTTCTTCCCTCACTATCCAAAGTCTCCACTTCCAAAAAGTTGCTTTCAGTTAGTTCAGTGCAGTTGAGAACATTCAGGTTTCATCTCTGTTTGATAATTTCCTTTGTTTCAGTCTCACTGAGAGAAAGTTTGTTTCTACTTCTCTGAAGCTGTTGGCCATATTCTTGAAACTAAAAAGCAGCCTTTTACTCTCAAAGGCTGCTCGCAAATCTGCGTTAAATAAGAGTCTTGTACTCGAATAAGGCTGACGGTCCACTACAGTCTGGGCTTATCCCGTTTTCAGAGCCGTGAAGGAACCAAAGTATTGCCTCTCCTTTGAATTTGTCCATAGCGGTGAACTAATCAGTTCCTCCGACAGTTTGCTGGTTTTCCTTTACACTACGTGGGTGGAGAGGCAGTAAGGGAGAAAAGTCTCTTTGCCAAAGAAAACAAGTGAACATAAATTTAATTTGTTCCCAAGGAAAAAATCTCCTCTATTTTGTAGTTTAATTATGTTTACTGAACAAAATTAAGGCGCCCTTGTAAATCGAACAGATCTGCAGTGATTCATGGTCAGTACTCATGTATCACATCAAGACGATGACTAAATCAAATTGGTTTTCGCGACTGTAGAGCGTTACTTTAATACCTGAATTTGTTCCTTCTTTGTTTAGGTTCGCTTTACAGAGGACAAAGGAATCAACACGACCAAAGCCTCTCTTCTAACAGGTTATATGGCCTTTGGAGGACTTACGGGAAGTATCGCCTTTGGCATTGCGTGCGATCATCTGCAATTCAACCGCCTCAAGGTCTGCCAGCTCTCTCTCCTTCTCATAGCTATTTCTTCCTCCCTTGTCACCATGGCGAATAAATATGTCTGGATTTGCGTGTACGCGTTCACTTTTGGTGTTTTTGATGGATGCTACGAGATGCTTGTTCCCGTGATCACGCGGGATATCGCAGGCCCTCAAAGAGTAGCGCACGCCATCGGTTTGCTTTACTGTATGATGGCCTTTCCAAAAACGCTCGGCCCACCAATCGCTGGTTGGCTTTTCGACTTGTCCAATGACTACAGTGTTTCTTTTTACGTCACTAGCGCTGTAACCATTATTGCAACAGCCGTCATGTTCCTTCTCAATTGGGTTCCACTCCACAAAGATCGCTTAGAGATGGAAGGAAATGAAATGCACTCTCCGAAAATTACAGACGGGCCTTCTCACGAAAGCGTCTGCGATGGCTTCGGGATAAACTTAACACCAGAAGCCGACGACTCTGTAACTCGCAGGTGGCTGCCAATTTACTGGGTAGAAAGTCGCGGAGAGTATGAATATCGCGAAAAGCTGACAGTGCTGTGACCAAATTTAGTTGCAGGGAGAGTTTCTGTGGAGGAAAGGTGGTGTTTATGGACTAGTCGTCCAAAGAGCTCTCTACCAGTCAACCAGCAAATTTAGCTCAAAACACTCAGAACGTTTTAAGTAATCTTTCCTTTAATTTTTTCTTTGCTGTTAAGAAATATCGACACTGAATCGAGGTTTGAAGTTTAAACCGTGTATGATACTGTTTTCAAGTTAAGAAGCGAGTCACAGAAACAACATTTAAAAGGTGTTAAAAGCAAGCTGACGGATTATTTCGCTGACTTTCTGGCTGTTCGTGCAGGCACGTGACCTAGCACACGCTTGAGAACAGTCTAAGAACAAGAAAGAAAAATATAGATGAATAAAAATCTTACCACATTTGTTTTAAATCGCGGGTTCACGTGGTTTCAGATAGGTTTCTTACAACACTGGAGGTGAATTTTCATCACACCTTTTTACTTATGAGCTCCAATGAAAGATGGTTATTAAAAAATTAAAAGAAACTTGAATAAGTAAACCCTGTATTGAAATCGTAGCTGTAAAAAAGTTCTTAATGTTACTGCCTTCATCTCAAATGGCATTGACTACAACTGGCAAGCACTCGCAAGTAAGGTTTCCTACGAGTATATCAATCAATCAATCAATCAACCAATCGGGTCTCTCCGTCAGCACGTCCGTCCGTCGATCCGTCCGTAGTATTAGAGTATAAGTCAACTTACCGAAATGTCGTCATCGGCTGAGAACTTGTCTCCACGCTCCGCCCAGTGACACGCTTCAACAGAACCTTCCTCCATGACGTGATGTTCTGAGGAGTAACGCATTCAACGCTTATTGGCATTTACACAACTTAGTAGAAGATAGCGCTAAAATTTGATTTTGTTTGGGCCGAAAAAAGTAAAACCATGATTATCGTGAATCCAAAAAAGATTTGTCTTTATCAATTACTTATCTCGCGTGGCTTGCATTCCAAAACTGTTCTCTTAAGAAAGCTTACAGTTTATCAAACAGGTCCTATGTCACCGAGTAACGCAATCAACGCTGTCACATTCAAGTACTCATCACATAGTTGTAACCAACGCAACATAATGTCTTAAGTGTTTACCTCGAAGATGATTCTTAAGGTGCGTGACAACGCCAAAATTTAGATCACAGTCTCGCCACTGATACAGAAATAATTAGAACGGTAAAATATGAGAAGAGAAATAAGCTATTGGTAACACCTTGTATTCGATCAAGCTCAAAATAACACTAAAAAGTGTTGGAATCGCTTTTTCTTGAGCACAAGCCAAAGGATGATTTTTTCGTTTACCTTGCAAGAATGGTAAACCCGTAAATCCAGTTTAACAGCCACAACAGACCCATCGCGTGCTCCGCTGTAAATCTGTTGGAAAGAAATCGAAAATATAATACAGCAAAGAATTTACCTGAAGTGCTAGATGCTCTCAAGAATAATTCTGTACTTTAAAAGGCTTTTTAAATACCTGTTAGCTGACCGATTTTTCCCGAAAAAGGACCTTGGATGAAAATGCTATACCTTCTTTAACCTTTATACCCTGAGATCAATAAGCATATTCCCCATACTGTTCTCCATACATTTCCTTTAGCATTGACAGGAGTAAATTGTTTAACAAGGCTTTTCTTAGTTGGCGATCATTTCCCTTATTCTCACGACCTTTAATTCTTGAATCCCATGAATGACCGAGGCAGAATTTCTCCTTACAACAACAGTGCAATATCAAGCAGGCAAGTGATGAGAAGGAAGAAAAATTTGAACTAGGGGTTTGTAAGTTGATCCAATAACAAATTCCCAGAACTAACATCATAAGAATTGCATGACAGACAGTAGGGAAAATCACTGAAGACATTTTAGTTGTGAAAGAGCCACACAGAGTCTTTTGATTGATTGATTGATTGATCGACTGATTGATTGATTGATCGACTGATTGATTACCATGACTTTACAAACGGGGCTTGTTTAGCGATTACGTGAGGAGCAGTGAAGCAGTCTCTTCTTGAAGCTGTTGATGTAGTGAGTACCAATGATTGAATCTCCATATTGTTCTCCTTACATTTCCTAAGGTGCTGAAAAGGAGAATTTGTTTACTAATCAAGAGCTTCTTTGCTTGATGATCATTTCCTTTTTTCTCGTGACCTTGATGTGTGATTTAGGGGTGAAAGTGTAAGGAGAAATTAGATGTTAGTCACTCTTAGGAGTCAAAGGGTTCAGGCAGCCATTACCGCCCAAAGGTTTGGGGTTGTCCAGTTCCAAGTGAACGGCATTGAATTGTAAATTTAGGCTGAACTATTTCAGACGAGACTCGATTTTTCCTAATTCTGAACTGACTAAGCTATTTCTTAATAAAGAAATCACAACTTTTAGTTTGCAAGACATGTTTCGACATTCTTATGTCATCTTCAGTTGTAAATGCGATTTTAACGGTTGTACATTTGAATTTATATGAGATTACGTTACAAATTACGTCATATTGTTTACGTTACAATTTGAATATTAAATACGAAAAAACGTGACATAGCACGCGCCAGATGGGGAAAGAAGGAGAAAAGAAAAATAATGATCATAATAAGAAAAATTATTATGATGACAGAATCAAAAGGAAAGAGACAACTCTAGATGCTTCAATTGCTGATTAAGGATGGGTTTGTCCCACTTAATATGCAATGCCTCTTTGATCTTAATTTTGTATTTCGAAGCGGCAGAATCTAGAATGGTGAAACATTCTGTACCACAAGAGTCGAGACAGGCCTTTGATGATTGTAGGTGCTTGTAAATGTGTGAAGTTTTGTCAGACAAGAGGTGCTCACGAACCCGTGTACAGATGTGGCGAGTGGTCTCACCAATATAACTGGCATTACAGCCAGCACATGAAAATTTATAAACGACACGCGAACGTAGACCTGGTGGTACTGAATCTTTCACACTGAACAAGTTTCTGAGCTTAAACGTATTGAAGACTAACTTAATATCTAAATCAGGTCTACAATAACGTTTCAGTAGATGCCTTAACTTGGTTTGAGCGATGTCAGAAAACCGCCCAACATAAGGAAGTTTAAAATAATGCGAAGAAGGGTTTCCGGAGTTTAATGTGGCGTTATGCGTGGGAGAAGGATTATAGCTCTTGGTCAGATGTCTTGAGATAATCCTAAGCTATTTATTTTTTGACCATTACATTCTATTTAAGAAGAGTTGTCCATTTGTATTATAACTACATCTCTTCAAATTGTATCGACCGTCTGACAATACAGATTACGCCAATTCTTTTTCCTTTAAACCGTCTACACAGTATGTATTTTTGGCGGTAACCGCTGCCCATAGATATTCAAGGCTTATACTTTTGCTTTTAAAATACTGTAGTCCCTTCTTTGGCCATTGGATGTCGAATAGATCAGAAAATTCGTCTAGGGGTCAGTTACAGGACGGCATAGCAAATGAAGCAGCGGAGTAGCCAAATAACAAACGGTTTTTTGCTTTCATTCATGAAATAGAAGACCCTAATCATAAACAATAAAGATATAAATCATTCGTACTCAATTTCGCGATTTTGGTGAGACGGTGTTTCGCAGGGGTTTTATTTTCGCGATTTCAAAGCGCAAATATGAAAGAGGGGAATGAAAGGCCGATTTTCATCCTTGATGCAACGCGCGCCGCCACGGAATTTCGTCTAACACGAAATTTTCAGATCACTGAAAACCTTCTAAAATCGTCTTTCTCAAGAGCCATCTAAGACATATAGTCAATTGTTTTCAGGTAAATGCATGCGCCTTTCGTCATTTTACAGTTTCCTTACAGTATTTTGAATTTTTTCCGGTAGAATCCGAAGAGAATTTTTGTGTGGCTTACACAACCTGTGCAGCCACGTTGTGTCACGGTTGGATATATTTATTTATTTGTCCACGAGAGTCGAGCGCCTGTCACGTTGTCTAGTATCGTAGTAACGTACGGCGCACTAATCTAATCTGAGTCAGCCATCTTGATTGTGAAATAATGTGTTCTCGAGTAGTTTTTTTCTGGTGATCGTATCTCGAGTTCGTTCTCCTCACACAAGCCAACATGTTCAGACCCGGCTTGTGTCATAAGTGCAGCTTGTGTAAGAGCTTCTACGTTCTTAAAAGACAATATTGAACTGCTTGAATCTTCGGTACGGGTTGTAACACACTGAAAGGAGTCATTGCACTCACAAGCCAACAACTATCGGCTTGATCTATCGGTGCAGGTTGCACCACTGAGTGTCTAAAAGTGTTTGAAAGTGTTTAAAAGTGTCTGAAGTCACCTTAAAGTGCCAGAAAGTGAAATAAGTTGTATTGCAGTTGCTTTCTCCTTGCACTGTTGAGAATTCACGGAGGCATATCTCAAAACGAAAAAAGTAAGTATGGGAATCTCGACTGAACAATACCGGTCAAGTATTGGTTCTCATGACAATTTCGTGAAAACATAGGATATCTGATCACGTGTTAATAATCATTGTTGAAGTTTAATGTTTCTGATGTTCTATTTAAATGTATTTTACTTGCCAGTATTGAAACAAGTTGTTGGACAACACAAAATGTAGAATGATGTGATGTTTTGGTTTTCACAAATAATTTTCTACAATGCCTATATTCCATTGCTTATAAGGCAGGCAAATGATGTAGAAGAAAATCCAGACCCTACAATATTTGATGTCATCGATCCAACAAGAACAATATGTGCTTACTACAGTCAAGGAAATGAAGCTCTCTTTGGTGAATATACTGGTAAGCAATGTGTAGCAATGTCACTTACTGCTATTATTTATCATCACATAGAAGATATCAATTTGTGGACTTCTTCCATTTTGAATAATATTCTTACCATTGGAAATAATTTGTATACTTCTATAAGATGTTCTGTCCAGACAAATGATTATTTGTTTTAAACTGATGTTCCATGCATTGTTTCAATTTACAATAATGTATACACATTGGAATATAGTTAGTCATTAACAGGAGTTTGTTCATGACATCAAATAATGGGCCATACATGTCTCTTCAAAATTCTCTGACAGAAGTGTTTTCAAATTGTCAACTTAACTACAATTGTTGTTTGTTAATGACTAGAATAAATACTGTTGCAGTGATTAAGAATTCAGAACAAAGCTTTAAAATTTTTGATGCTCATTCCAGGGATTTACATGGGATACCCCACTCATTTGGGAAATGTACTTTGCTTACCATTGAAGAAATTGAAAATCTTGTATCATATTTGACCATTTTCTGCTTACAAATAGGGTTTGTTCCTTTTGAAATTAAAGGTGTGTTAATCAGAGATAATGAACTTGATTTGCAAAATGTTCATGAGAGTCCAAAAATTGAACATTTGCCTTTCAGAAATAAAAGAAACCAAACACAACATATGAAAAGGAAGCAAAAGTCTTTAACTGAAATGCCAGAAGAAAAAGAAAAAGAAAAACGATTGATTGCTAGACGTGAATATGAGAAACAAAGAAGGGTAAATGAAAGTGAGGAATCAAGGGAAAAGAGGCTGGCCCAGCAGCGTCTGAACAGGGAAAAGAAACATGCAAATGAATCTTCTGAATCAAGAAAAAGAGGCTGGCAACCCAATCTCAGTATCAAAGACAAAAAATTGCAAATGAATCAGCAGAATGTAGAGAGAAGAGACTGTTAAACCAACGTCAATATCGGAATGAAACTAGACGCATAATTGTGTTCACCCAGGCTTTCTGTTGGAAATAAACTTTGTTTTTTGTGCTTGCATTTGCCTAAGTCTTTATGCAGTTATTGGTTTATCCTGTAACTGTTTTTGTGTGGTTTACATGAAGTGTAACATGCTGTCAAAGATCGTTTTTTTATCTAGTTTTTCATTCATCTTTGTTGCTTAGATTTCACATGCTGGCTTTCCTACAGTTGGCTTGTCTTCTAAGTGCAGATTACAGCATGGAGTTGTGCTCTCACAGGCCAACATTTCATGGTCTGGACCTTTAGTGCAGGTCATGCCACATTGAAACTTAGGAGTCATTATTGACTCTCTGTGCGGTCACATTTCATGTAAGTTATTTACCAGAACATTTTTTATCCTGAATTTCTGTTTATACCACATGCTCATTAAGAAAATTACTTAACCAGTCTTTTTAGTACATGCAAAGATAAAATTTTGGTTAAATTGCAGAATACCCTGCCACCCATGGCATTACATGTCATTGAATATGAATAGAATAAACCATTTTTAGCCAGAAGTGAAAATAGGACTTTTTTGTTGCCATTAGAAAATCAAACACTGCTGTTGTCTGGAAATTCAATTTGACGGCCTCTTTAAATGAAATTATACTTTCATGTTTACATAGCTAAACCAATAAAAGTCACAAACATCTAACGCCTAACCCGAAACTGCAGTTTGTCATTAACATGGCGCTAAATGTCTATTGTAATTGTTTCCAAACTTTGGGGAGTAATCCATTGAAACTCAGTAACAAAGTGGTTTTGCTTTTATTAAAATATGAATAGGAGCCTAGTGATTTAATGTTAACTGAAATGTGATTAGTGTTATGTTTTCCAAGTTATGGCCAGAATTATTCAGACCTTAACATTTTATGACTTCCTTCAAGCTTGGCAGTCTTCTAGATTCTCTTCATAATGGTTCAGATAAGCATTGGTATCTATACTTGGTAGCAATACATGTGTATTAGGCCTTTATTTGGTAGACTACAACTCCTTTTCAGTTACTTTTTTGGTTTGGTGAATTCATCACAATACTGATATACATGGAAAATTACACTTTTTTGATTGGCTGAAAGTAACTAGATGCCTTTTCATTTATCATTAGTGGAAAAGTAATAACTCATGAACAAAATAATATAAACTCAGCAACAATAGATCACGTTAGAAACCAATCAGATTTACACAAAGTAGGTTGTTCTGATTGATACATGCAGTAGCTGACAAAAATAAACAAAAGCTTGGATGCTTTAATGTATATTGATAAACACTAACAAATTGCATTCCTGAGTAAGAATTCAGCTGAAGGACAAATTTTGATGGCACACACTTCACTTAGTCAATACTGTCAAATTTATCTGTCATCAGTTTGTTGATTTCCTATGAATGTGTATCTTTCATGTATATGTTATGAATAATTAATAACATGATTTCTCATATGATAAGCACCTGTGATTTTTTCAAATACTTTGAACTGCACACACGCTATGAGCTTAACATTTGTTGTTTGTGAAAAATTTACTTCTGCTTATTTAGAATACCAAAGTACACTTTAATTAACTTAGCTTAGACTTTGTCGAGTTTTTATGAAGACAGTTCAATGGAACTGACATTTGTTACATTTATATTTAGAAGTTAGAGCTACTTGATGTGGATTCAATAACCATCAGGTATCCTCAGAGACCCAGGGTTCTAATCACATCTGTAGACCCCTTAAAAGCACAGTCTTAACAGATCAGTTCCAAACTGTCATAGTCATTCTGAATTTTGATTGGTACCAGAAGTTCAATCTTGTTCTGGCAAATGAGAGTGAAGCAAATCTCACAAGTCCTCTTGTATGCTCTAACACAAAGTGATACATGAAGTTCAGTTGCTTACCATGTTTGTTTTGGACCTTTTTGTATGGTAGATTAGCACTTTGCATGATGATGTGAAGTTGACTATTTGCATGATGATGTCAAGTTCAGCCATTCATTTCTCCACATAACTTGAATTTGGTAGACTTGCTGGCATGGAATTACAATTTCAATAACAAGAAAACTTGAAAGCTTGTGGTAGTTTAAATCATATGATACCATCATGCACTTGCCTGTACATTGAACTCTGCTGTGTTTAAGTTTTGTCTCTGATTACTGTTCCTGAAATCTATTATGGTGACACACTATCTCTATTGAAGTTTCTGTTAAATAAAACCTCCGGGTCAAATTGTAAGTCTTATTGGGCTAAAAATTATTAGCAACGTTAACGTAATGTTACTTCAGAGCACTTAACTCAACATATGATTCATTAAAATATTGCTTGTGTTCTGATCTTGTAATGCACCTATCTTTTTTCCCTAGACTCTTCCATTTGCAACCTCATATCCACCTACCTGAACTAAATTTTCTGTGTTCTTTCTTGAAAATACAGTCCCACAAAACCTAAATACAATAATTATAGTAAATGTTTTGCTCTCAACCAACTGAAAGTTGAACTTTATGCCCTAATGGACAAAAGAAACCTAAGCTCAGCATTGTGTTACTTTACATGTATGTATTGTCCAAAATTAGTCATACATTCAAACCAATCAAGATCCCAATGGCTTCTAGTGTAGATTACATCATTTCCCAAATGTCCCTGCCCTTCTCCAAAGTTTTGTCCTTGTGTACCGGTACACAAAATGTCAAGAATATTCATGAAATTCTTCTCTAGAGTTCATTTCACATCACTTGCCTTGGAAAAGACAATCAACCTACAAACCTCAGAAGTCAATTCCACTTCGTTACGTAAACATAATCATGACTGAATCTATCAGACCACTATGGGAGATTATGCTGATGTTTTTTCAGTTCCTTAAATCCTCGGGTTACAGGTGCAACCTTTGTTGTCAAAATGAGACCTCCATAACAAAGTTTAGCCCATAACTCTCATCTTCAGAATGAACATTTCAGGACTTTTGTATGCTAGTTATCTTGTGCTATTGATGAACAAGATCAATATTGAAAACTATCTAATGGTAATCAGATATTAGCTCTTCTTATAGAAACCCAGTGAAACACCAGACACCAAAAAGCAGCTCAATTTCGTAAGCCACACATGTAAGCATTGCGGACCTATTTTTTCCAAGTGTCACGCTTGGATTTCTACGTACAGGGTCGGCGGAAAGGACAACGTTCTAATTTTTTCACTTTCTACAAGTGCTTGAGGATTCTAAATAAGAATAAAATATTTTCCAATTGAAAATGGTATTTTTTTTTAAGAGAAATATGGAAAAATATCAGACTGCCGGAAGTTTAGTTATTCAGTATTTTGAATTTTGGATTTTGTCCAGTAGTGTCCGAATAATTTATAAGTGTCACGCTTGGATCCCTTTCTACTCTGTGTACAGGGTCGGCGAAACGGATAACGTTCGAATTTTTTTCACTTTCTAGAGGCGCATAAGGATTCTAAATAAAGGAAAATTTGTATATTTCAAAGAGAAATGTGGAGTTATTTGAGGACCGTGTCCGGTAGTGTTATTGAAAAGTTTCAAGTGTCAAGCCCTTGGATGGCTGGAAGCGCTTGAGGATTGTAAATAAAGGCAGAACATTTTCGTATAAATATTTTTTGGATTTCGAAGACAAATATGGAAAAATATCGGACTGCCGGACGTTTAGTTATTTTAAGACCGTGTCAAGGATGGCAAACTTCAATTACTGCCTCGGAATCTGCTAAATCAATGGATTCTTCTGATTCCATACCGGACTACAATGTATAGTATTGTTTTAAACAGAATTATTTTGAGAAGCTCACCAAACTCATCGGAGAAAACGCAGACAACGAGGCAAGGTTAAAATAACTGACCAATCAGAGGCGCTAATCAGACGAAAGCGGTGGTTCAAAAACAAAAAAAAAAACCCACCGCGTTGCATCAAGTTTGGAAATGGGCCTTCATCACTGATCCATTCATGTTTGTTTATTCGGCTGTTTACATGATTCTGTTCAACTGATTCCAGCTGACAGGTGACAGCCAAATTACTACTGCTTAATTGGGCCCCAAGGTCAACGCTAGAGCAAAGAAAAAGCGCTTCAGATGGACACAGGAGCACTTTTCTTATCCTCAGGAGAAGAAATGTAAATTCCATGTCGGACATGACATCAGAAGAGAGGTGTCATGAAGTTTCGGAGGAAGACGATCAACAAGCAGATACTGTGATAAAAGTAAATCACAAACCTCCGCCCGATGGAGGGTGGGGATGGGTCGTTTGTCTCGGAGCATGGATTGTGAACTTCTTAACAGTAGGGCAGCAGAATGCAGCCGGTGTGGTGTACTCGGCGCTTTTGAACGAATATTCCACAAAAAGAGGGGAAACAGGTAAAGTTGCTTACACATTCAACCGAACTAAACGTGTTCGGATTTTGTTGAATACTCAGTCTAGACATTTTGTTTCTTTATTTTTGAAAACGACTCTCTGGTAAACGGAAACTGAGATGTGAATCAAAGCAGTATGTGTGCGCAATACAACATTTCGTGGTTTTCTTCCCTATTTTGACCATCATTTTTCTATTTTGAATTTTATAAACTTCCCCTTTAAGGTCTGTCATATAATTTTCGAGTAATTGATGCACAACTTAATAAAGTGTGAGGTCAGAGCCCCATTCTATTCTCGTCTAAGCAGAAGCTTCCAACTTGAATATTGGAAATCGTTCAGAAATAATCATGAAGGTTTATGCAAAAGGTCGCTTTAGATTTTTACTCCTTGCGATTTCCCTTCACAATCTGGTGGCTATAGTTATCCAAAACTCAGTCGAGTCATTTTGTTTCTTTATTTTTCAAACGATTCTCCGGTAAACAGAGACTGAGATGTGAATCAAAGCGGTATGTGTGCGTATTACTTAATAATTGGTTCATATGTCAGTGTGCGTTCATCGAGGTGTGAAGAACGCAGGATGTTTGGACAGCACGAAAGATGCGTAAGAGTTGCTCGAGGCGTAGCCTCTAGCTTCTTGAGTGCTCTCCAAACTTCCCAAGTGCTTCATATCTTGATGAACGCACAGCTTACGTATGAACCAATTGTTAAGTAATACGCACACCGATGGAAAATCTTTTTCCCGAGGGATTTGGTTGCTGACGTCATGAGCGTGCACAATAGGAATATGAAACACGCTCGCGTAATTGAATTTGATTATACAAATTTACTAGCTATGTTATTAAACATTTTGAGGTTTTCTTCCCTATTTTGACCATCATTTCATTTTAATCGCGTGTCAATTTTTCTATTTTGAATTTTCTAAAATTTTCATTTAAGGTCTGTCATATATTTTTCGAGTAATTTATGCACAACTTAAGACGTGACTTCATGAAGTGTTAGGTCAGATCCCTTATCTATTCACGTCTAAGCAGAAGCTTCCAACTTCAACATTGGAAATCGTTCAAAGATAATCGTGACAGTTTATATAAAAGGTCGCTTTAAATTAAAACGAGTTTTGTTTCTTGCGATTTCCCTTTACAATCTGATGGCTATATCTATCTAAAACTCAGTCTAGTCATTTTGTTTCTTCATTTTTCAAAACGATTCTCTGGTGCGTGTGCGTAATACAACATTTTGTGGTTTTCATTTTAATCAAGAGTCACTGTTTCTATCTTGAATTTTTAAACTTCCCTTTTAAGCTCTGTTTATAATTTTCAAGTAATTTTTGCACAACGTAAGACGTGACTTAATAAAGTGTGAGGTCAAATGTGTGAGGCCCCTTTCTATTTTCATATTAGCAGAATCTTCCGGTTAAGAGATGTCGAATTTCCGCTATCTGATGTACAGAGTACACTTGAATATTGCAAATCGTTTAAAAAATAATCGTGACAGTTTATGTAAAAGGTCGCTTTAGATTAAACCGAGTTTTACTCCTTGTGATTTCCCTTCACAATCTGTTGGCTATATCCAATCAGAGTAAGAACTGCATGTCCATTTAAAAGCCTGATTAAAGGCTGATAAGAACGAGCAGCTTTTTTTAACGGCCTCCTTAAAAAGTCTCCATCGCGACATTCACAAAGCCCGTTATGTTGTTCTTTAGTCGTTGTCTTTTTATCAAGCCTACATTGCTAATCCAGGTCTATGTATCATTTCGTGGTCCACAGCTTTAAAACTCAACTTGGCCTAATGAGCATTGCCCATTACCTCTTGCAAAATCTTACTCTATTCTTTTCAACCGCTTGAAAGCGTTGAGGTAAAAAAATAAAACATCAGAACAATATTATCTTTCTAGATGGACGAGTTTTTCAATTGAGTAAATAGCCTATCATCTTTCTCAACAGCTTGGGTTGCCTCGCTGGCGGCCAGTATGATGTATCTGTTCGCTGCTGTGGGCACCTCTCTCGCTGAACGTTTCGGAAGCCGATTGGTTGTCATCATTGGATCTTTCGTCTCAGCTTCAGGCCTCCTTGCCAGTTCCTTCGCAACAACGCTCACACCCCTGTATGGAAGCTACGGAATTATATGGGGTCTGGGAGCAAGTCTGGGCTTATTTCCCTCGCTCGTGATACTAACAACGTACTTCAGGAGGCGCCTTGCCCTTGCATCTGGGATGGCTCTGGCAGGAGCGGCGTGTGGCACCCTAGTATATGGGCCTGTGATACAACTCCTTGTATCAAAGTACGGGATTTCAGTTACATTTCGGATTCTTGCCGCCGTTCAGAGTTTAATGTTTATGAGTGGATTGCTATTTCGGCCTGTGGAGAGCCATAAAGCCTGCCGAGACAGACAAAGAGAAAACAACGGCAACATTTTCAAGAAAGCATACGTCATCTGGGTTGCTTCGCTTTGTGTGTTCATGCTTGTGTTTCTCGTGCCTTTTGTTCACTTGGTAAGTTAAGCAGACAGATGAATTGTTTCCTCCCTCACTATCCAAAGCCTCCACTTCCAAAAAGTTGCTTTCAGTTAGTTGAGAATGTTCAGGTTCCATCTCTGTTTGATAATTTCCTGTATTTCAGTCTCACTGAGAGAAAGTTTGTGTCTACTTCTCTGAAGCTGTTGGCCATATTTTTGAAACTAAAAAGCAGCCTTTTACTCCCAAAGGCTGCTCGCAAATCTGCGAAAAATAAGAGTCTTGTAATCGAATAAGGCTGACGATCCATCACAGCCTGGGCTTATCCCGTTTTCAGAGCCGTGAAGGAACCAAAGTATTGCCTCTCCTTCGAATTTGTCCATAGCAGTGAACTAATCAGTTCCTCTGACAGTTTGCTGGTTTTCCTTTACACTACGTGGGTGGAGAGGCAGTGAGGGAGAAAAGTCTCTTTGCCAAAGAAAACAAGTGAACACAAATTTAATTTGTTCCCAAGGAAAAAAATTTCCTTTATTTTGTATTTTAATTATGTTTACTGAACAAAATTGAGGCGACCTTGTAAATTGAACAGATCTGCAGTGATTCATGGTCAGTATTCATGTATCACATCAAGACGATGACCAAATCAAGTTGGTTTCTGCGACTGTGGAGCGTTATTTTATACCAGAATTTGTTCCTTCTTCGTTTAGGTTCGCTTTACAGAGGACAAAGGAATCAACACGACCAAAGCCTCTCTTCTAACAGGTTATATGGCCTTTGGAGGACTTACGGGAAGTATCGCCTTTGGCATTGCATGCAATCATCCGAAATTCAACCGCCTCAAGGTCTGCCAGCTCTCTCTCCTTCTCATAGCTATTTCTTCCTCCCTTGTCGCCAGGGCGAATAAATATGTCTGGATTTGCGTGTACGCGTTCACTTTTGGTGTTTTTGATGGATGCTACGAAATGCTTGTTCCCGTTATCACGCGGGATATCGCAGGCCCTCAAAGAGTAGCGCACGCCATCGGTTTGCTTTACTGTATGATGGCGTTTCCAAAAACGCTCGGCCCACCAATCGCTGGTTGGCTTTTCGACTTGTCCAATGACTACAGTGTTTCTTTTTACGTCACTAGCGCTGTAACCATTATTGCAACAGCCGTCATGTTCCTTCTCAATTGGGTTCCACTCCACAAAGATCGCTTAGAGATGGAAGGAAATGAAATGCACTCTCCGAAAATTACAAACGGGCCTTCTCACGAAAGCATTTGCGATGGCTTCGGGATAAACTTAAGATCAGAAGCCGACGACTTCGTTACTCGCAGGTGGCTGCCAATTTACTGGGTTGAAAGTCGCGGAGAATACGAATATCGCGAAAAGCTGACAGTGCTGTGACCAGATTTAGTTGCAGGGAGAGTTTCCGGGGAGGAAAGGTGGTGTTTATGGACTAGTCGTCCAAAGAGCTCTCTACCGATCAACCAGCAAATTTAGCTCAAAACATTCAAACACGTTTTAAGTTTATCTTTCTTTTAATTTTTTCTTCGCTGTTAAGAAATATCGTCGCTCCGACACTGAAACGAGGTTTGAAGTTTAAACCGTGTATGATACTGTTTTCGAGTTTAGAAACGAGTCGCAAAAACAAAATTGAAAAGGTGTTAAAAGCAAGCTGACGGATTATTTCGCTGACTTTCTGGCTGTTCGTGCAGGCACGTGACCCAGTACATGCTTGAGAACAGTCTGAGAACAAGAAAGAAAAATATAGATAAATAAAAATCTTACCACATTTGTTTTAAATCGCGGGCTCACGTGGTTTCAGATAGGTTTCTTACAACACTGGAGGTGAATTTTCATTACACCTTTTTACTTATGAGCTCCAATGAAAGATGGTTATTAAAAATTAAAATAAACTTGAATAATTAAACCCTGTATTGAAATCATAGCTGTAAAAAGTTCCTACTGTTACTGCTTTCATCTAAAATGGCATTGACTACAACTGGCAAGCACTCGCAAGTAAGGTTTTCTACGAGTATATCAATCAATTAATCAATCAACCAATCGGGTCTCTCCATCTGCACGTACGTCCGTCGATCCGTCCGTAGTATTAGAGTATAAGTCAACTTACCGAAATGTCGTCATCGGCTGAGAACTCGTGTCCACACTCCGCCCAGTGACACGCTTCAACAGAACCTTCCTCCATGACGTGATGTTCTGAGGAGTAACGCATTCAACGCTTATTGGCATGTACACAACTTAGCAGATAATAGCGCTAAAAATTTGATTTTGTTTGGGCTGAAAAAAGTAAAACTATGATTATCGTGAATCCAAAAAATATTTGTCTTTATCAATTACTTATCTCGCGTGGCTTGCATTCCAGAAATGTTCTCTCTAGAAAGCTTACAATTTATCAAACAGGTCCTATGTCATGTGTCACCGAGTAACGCAATCAACGCTGTCACGTTCAAGTACTCATCACATCGTTGTAACCAACGCAACATAATGTCTCAAGTGTTTACCTCGAAGGTGATTCTTAAGGTGCGTGACAACACCAAAATTTAGATCACAGTCTCGCCACTGAAACAGAAATAAGTAGAACGGTATAAGAAGAGATATAAGCAAATAAAATATAAGAAATAAAATAAAGAAAATAAAATAAAGAATAAAATAAAGAAATAAAATATAAGAAGAGAAATAAGCTATTGGTAACACCTGGAAACCTTGTATTTGATCAAGTTTAAAATAACACTGAAAAGTGCTGGAATCGTTTTTTCTTGAGCACAAGCCAAAGAAATGACTTTTTCGTTTACCTTGCAAGAATGGTAAACCCGTAAATCCAGTTTAACAGCCACAACAGACCCATCGCGTGCTCCGCTGTAAATCTGTTGGAAAGAAATCGAAAATACAGCAAAGAATTTACAGGGAGTGCTAGATGCTCTCAAGAATAACTCTGTACTTTAATAGGCCTTAAGTACCTATTAGCTGACGATTTTTCTCGAAAAAGGACCTTGGATGAAAATGCTGAGAAATTATTTCTTTCGCATGATATAGCTTAAATGATTTGCTCTGAAGTTGGAATTCAATCGAAGTAAAATCACCTGAGTCACAAAAAAAACTATTTTTTAATTTACCCTTCCATTATTAACATGAACAGAGAAAATCATATCCATTTGACCACCATAAACTTGAAGAAGATCTGCCGACTGAAAAATAAATATATATAGAAAACAATTAGATATAAGAACAGCTGTGAGCTCTAGTACAGACTACTGAAACTTTCCATTCCCTTTTAGGCGAGTCCGTTCGCGTTTCAAACTCGCGCTGTGCAGTGAGCTGGTTTATAGTCCACTGAAACACAGCGATTTTATCGGCCTTCAATAAAAAAAACAACTTTTAAAAGTGCAAGTTTTGAACATTCAACGTCGTTAGATCATACACATTTATACACATAAGACAATAGCAGCTCCTTAAACTTACCGTTAGATCGTAACAACGAATGAGTTTATCCAAACATGACGTCACTAATACATTGCCGATAATTTGAAGTCCGCTGACACTCATCGGGTGACCTTCGAAACTTCTCAGAAGCTCTCCGCTCTGATAATGAAATAATATCAAATGTTAGTCGGTCTTTCTGACAGCTTTCTGTTTGAAAAATAAAAGCAATTTTAAGTCCAATTTATTACAGAGAATAAATACACTGTGAGAAAATACCCCGAGGATATAAATTTATCAAAAAAGAACGCAATTCTTTTCGCAAACTTAAAGCTTTAACTATCAAGATCAACAAGAAAACTCTTCCAACTGATAGCAAGACACTTTCTTTGTTGGTTAATATCCTGGTTGGTAATTTCCCTTATTCTCAGTTATCTGTCTTTAAACAGTGTATTAAACTTGTCAAGAGAAATTATGTACTGATCTCTCCTAGGAGGGTAGGGGTAAACGAACACCATACAATCACTTGGAACGTCTAGCTGCTAGGCATCACCACCTTTCAGGGCTGAGTTTTTAAGTAAAGGCCTGTAACCGAACAGCGGTCTACCGCTGCCTAGAAGACCTCTTACCGCTGTCTGTTGAGCCTGCACAGGCGCTCGTGTTTGGGTTAAACCTTACTGCCCCTTTTACGGGCACAGCTGCCTATTACATCATCGGTAGCCGCTTATGGAAACCTTAATTGAAATCCTTGCCATCAGCCATTATAATCATTAAAATATAGACATACATTCAAGTTATGGGCCTGAACTTTCATATCAGCAGATCCACTGTACAAAATATTCTCCACAACCTAACAGGATACAAAGAGAAAGCTGTGAAGTGACTTCCCTTGAAAAATATTCTTTCCACTCATGGTTAAAAACTGCACAAAGAGTGCTGCTCTGCAGTAAAATATGACAAGGATGAGAGTAAAAACACCGAATTCCTCGGAAGGTTTTAACTGGCATCGAACTTGTTTTTGAGAGCAGTAAAAAAGGAGAGACAATTCAAAAATCTAGATGACAAACCTGGATACATAAAACAGTCATGCTATGATCACAGAGCGTCCGAATGAGAAGACCAGTCTAAGAAAAACAGAAAGACAATGACAGTTCCTATCATAAGTAATTTGAAGTTCTGCATTATGAAATAAGTATCGAAAACAAAACTGAAGGAAATAACCTACTCCTTTGACTGATATTCCTTTGCTCAAAACAACGAAACAAAAGCTTGTTCTTTTTCGTGCCTTTTTTTTTCTCTAGATGGCCACAGGACCACCACTGTTCATAACTACTGCGCGCTATACCTTCTTTAACCTTTATACCCTGAGATCAATATGCATATTCCCCATACTGTTCTCCATACATTTCCTTTAGAATTGACAGGAGTAAATTGTTTAACAATCAGAGGCTTTTTTAGTTGGCGATCATTTCCCTCATACTCACGACCCTTAGCCCTTGAATCCCATGACTGACCGAGGCAGAATTTCTCCTTACAACAACAGTACAATATCAAGCAGGCAAGTGATGAGAAGGAAGAAAATTTAAACTAGGGGATTGTAAGTTGATCCAAGAACAAATTCCCAGAACTAACATCATATGAATTGCATGACAGACAGTAGGGAGAATCACTGAAGACATTTTAGGTGTGAAAGAGCCAAACAGAGTCTTTTGATTGATTGATTGATCGATTGATTGATTGATTGATTGACTGATTGATTACCATGACTTTACAAACGGGCTTGTTTAGCGATTACGTGAGGAGCAGTGAAGAGGAAGTCTCTTCTTGAAGCTGTTGATGTAGTAAGTACTAATGATTGTATTTCATATCGTGTTGATGTTGCACAAAAATATGTCGTTAACGAAGAATTTAGGACGGGGAAAGTGACCTCGGTTGCTTTTCTATGTGCTTTACAGCAAAGCCCTGCTCAAATACATTTGAGTCCAGACGGCAGTCAAAGTCATCCATGAGTATAAATCAAACATTCAAAGTATAAGTTAAACACCTAAAATGTACCTTGCAATCTCTGATAGCAATAGTTGAATCAAATGAACCAGAGCACAAAAGCTTTCGTTGTCCTTCAGTGGCTGTAGCAAGACAGCTTACTCCACGGGGCTCGTGACAGTGAAGGCGCTCTTGGCATATGTTATTCTGGCAATAAAAAAAATAATTAGAGCAAAAAATCGTTCAAACCCTTCAATTTTCAAGAATAGGTGATATTTAACCCTTTTCACCCGAACATCAGTATGCACATTCTCCATATTGTTCTCCTTACATTTCCTAAGGTGCTGACAAGGAGAATTTGTTTACTAATCAAGAGCTTCTTTGCTTGATGATCATTTCCTTTTTTCTCGTGACCTTGATGTGTGATTCAGGGGTGAAAGTGTAAGGAGAAATTAGATGTTAGTCACTCTTTGGAGTCAAAGGGTTCAGGCAGCCATTACCGCCCAAAGGTTTAGAGTTGTCCAGTTCCAAGTGAACGGCATTGAATTGTAAATTTAGGCTGAACTATTTCAGACGAGACTCGATTTTTCCTGATTCTGAACTGACTAAGCCATTTATTTTTTAACCATTACATTCTATTTAAGAAGAGTTGTCCATTTGTATTATAGCTACATCTCTTCAAATTGTATCGACCGTCTGACGATACAGATTACATCAATTCTTTTTATTCTAAATCGTCTACATTGTATGTATTTTTGGCGGTAACCGCTGCCCATAGATATTCAAGGCTTATGCTTTTGCCTTTAAAATACTGTAGTCTCTTCTTTGGCAGCGGTCATCGCCAAAAATACATTGGATGTCGAATAGATCAGAAAATTCGTCTAGGGGTCAGTTACAGGACGGCATAGCAAATGAAGCAGCGGAGTAGCCAAATAACAAACGGTTTTTTGCTTTTATTCATGAAATAGAAGACCCTAATCATAAACAATAAAAATATAAATCATTCGTACTCAATTTCGCGATTTTGGTGAGACTGTGTTTCGCAGGGGTTTTATTTTCGCGATTTCAAAGCGCAAATATGAAAGAGGGGAATTAAAGGCCGATTTTCATCCTTGATGCAACGCGCGCCGCCACGGAATTTCGTCTAACACGAAATTTTCAGATTACTGAAAACCTTCTAAAATCGTCTTTCTCAAGAGCCATCTTAGACATATAGTCAATTGTTTTCAGGTAAATGCATTCGCCTTTCGTCATTTTACAGTTTCCTTACAGTATTTTGAATTTTTTCCGGTAGAATCCGAAGAAGATTTTTTTCAAGTGTCACGCTTAGATTTCTACGTACAGGGTCGGTGGAAAGGACAACGTTCTAATTTTTTTTACTTTCTAGAAGTGCTTGAGGATTCTAAATGAGAATAAAATATTTTCCAATAGAAACTGGTATTTTTTGTAAAGAGAAATATGGAAAAATATCACTTTGCCGGAGGTTTAGTTATTCAGTATTTTGAATTTTGGATTTTGTCCAATAGTGTCCGAAGAATTTCTATGTGTCACGCTTGGATCCCTTTCTACTCTGTGTACAGGGTCGGCGAGACGGATAACGTTCGAATTTTTTCATTTTCTGGAGGCGCTTAAGGATTCTAAATAAAGGTAGAATATTTTCCAAGGAAAATTGGTATATTTCAAAGAGAAATATGGAGTTATTTGAGGACTGTGTCCGGTCGTGTCATTGAAAACTTTCTAATTGTCAAGTGCTTGGATGGCTTCGTATTCCGTATACTGGGTTGGCGAAAAACATCAAGTTCGAAATTTTTGGCTGCCTGGAAGCGCTTGAGGATTGTAAATAAAGGTAGAACATTTTCGTATAAATATTTTTTGGATTTCGAAGACAAATATGGAAAAATATCGGACTGCCGGACGTTTAGTTATTTTAAGACCGTGTCCGGCTGCCGGACGTTTAGTCACTTTATTGCAGGAACGTCAGCGTCACTGAGAGCTTGCGTTACGATTCATATTTGCTGCTTTGAATAGACAGCAACCTCCACCACTCTTTCTAGCGCAAGCTCCTATCCACGGGCAGGAAACTTCAACTGACCCTTGGTCCTATTTAACAAGGATGGCAAACTTCAATTAAATAAGCATTTACTGCCACGGAATCGGCTGAATCAATGGATTCTTCTGATTCCATACCGGATTAAAACGTATAGTATTGTTTTAAACAGAATTATTTTGAGAAGCTCACCAAACTCATCGGAGAAAACGCAGACAACGAGACAAGGTTAAAATAATTGACCAATCAGAGGCGCTATTCAAACGAAAGCGGTGGTTCAAAAAGAAAAAAAAACCCACCGCGTTGCATCAAGGTTGGAAATGGGCCTTCATCACTGATCTTCTCATGTGTGTTTACTCAGCTGAATTACTACTGCTCAACTTACTACTGGGCCCTAAGGTCAACGCTAGGGCAACGAAAAGGGCGCTTCAGGCGGACACAGGAGCACTTTTCCTATCCTCAGGAGAAGAAATGTGAATTCCATGTCGGACATGACATCAAAAGAGAGGTGTGATGAAGTTTCGGAGGAAGACGATCAGCCAGCAGCTACTGTGAATCAAGTACATCACAAACCTCCGCCCGATGGAGGGTGGGGATGGGTCGTTTGTCTCGGAGCATGGATGGTGAATTTCTTAACAGTAGGGCAGCAGAATGCAGCCGGTGTAGTGTACTCGGCGCTTTTGAACGAATATTCCACAAAAAGAGGGGAAACAGGTAGAGTTGCCTACACATTAAACCAAACTAAAAATGTTCGGATTTTGTTGAATACTCAGTCTAGTCATTTTGTTTCTTTATTTTTCAAAACGACTCTCCGGTAAACGGAAACTGAAATGTGAATCCAAGCGGTATGTGTGCGCAATACAACATTTCGTGGTTTTCTTCGCTATTTTGACCATCATTTAATTTTAATTGAAAGTCACTTTTCCTATCTTGAATTTTTTAAACCTTCCCTTTAAGGTCTGGCGGTCATATTTATCGAGTAATTTTTGCACAACTTAAGACGTGACCTAATAAAGTGTGAGATCAAAGCCCCTTTCTATTTTCGTATTAGCAGAAGCTTCCGGTTAAGAGATCACGAATTTGCGCCATCTGACGCACAGAGTACACTTGAATATTGGAAATCGTTCAAACACAATCGTGACAGTTTATGTAAAAGGTCGCTTTAGATTAAACCGTGTTTTATTCCTTGCGATTTCCCTTCACAATCTGTTGGCTATATCTATCTACAACTCAGTCTAGTCATTTTTGTTTCTTTATTTTTCAAAACGATTCTCTGGTAACCGGAAACCGAGATGTGAATCAATGCAGTATGTGTGCGTAATACAACATTTTGTAGTTTTCATTTTAATCGAGAGTCACTTTTTCTACCTTGAGTTTTTAAACTTCCCTTTTATGCTCTGTTTTATAATTTTCTAGTAATTTCTGCACGACGCAAGAAGTGACTTATAAAGTGTGAGGTCAAAGCCCCTTTCTATTTTCGTTTAAGTAGACGCTTCCGGTTAAGAGATCTAGAATTTGCCCTATCGGACGCACAGAGCACATTTGAATATTGGAAACCGTTTACAAGTAATCGTGACAGTTTATGTCAAAGGTCACTTTAGATTAAACCGAATTTTACTCCTTGTGATTTCCCTTCAAAATCTGTTGGCTATAACCAATCAGAGTAAGAACTACATGTCCATTTAAAAGCCTGATTAATAGCTGATAAGAACGAGCAGCTTTTTTAAACGGCCTGACTAAAAAAGTCTCCATCGCGACATTCACAAAGTCCGTTCTGTTGTTCTTTAGTCGTTGTCTTTTTACCAAGCCTACATTGCTAATCCAGGTCTATCGTGTCATTTCATGGTCCACAGCTTTGAAACTTAACTTGGCCTAATGAGCATAGCCCGACGTAAAAAAATAAAACATGAGAACAATATTATCTTCCTAGATGGAAAAGTTTGTCAATTGAGTAAATAGCTTATCATCTTTCTCAACAGCTTGGGTTGCCTCGCTGGCGTCCAGTATGATGTATCTGTTCGCTGCTGTGGGTACCTCTCTCGCTGAACGTTTCGGAAGCCGATTGGTTGTCATCATTGGATCTTTCGTCTCAGCTTCAGGCCTCCTTGCCAGTTCCTTCGCAACAACGCTCACACCCCTGTATGGAAGCTACGGAATTATATGGGGTCTGGGAGCAAGTCTGGGCTTATTTCCCTCGCTCGTGATACTAACAAAGTACTTCAGGAGGCGTCTTGCCCTTGCATCTGGGATGGCTCTGGCGGGAGCCGCTTGTGGCACTCTGGTATATGGGCCTGTGATACAACTTCTTGTATCAAAGTACGGGATTTCAGTTACATTTCGGATTCTTGCCGCCGTTCAGAGTTTAATGTTTTTAAGCGGATTGATATTTCGACCTGTGGAGAGCCATAAGGCCCGACGAGACAGAGAAAGAGAAAAAAACGGCAACATTTTCAAGAACAAAGCGTACGTCATCTGGGTTGCTTCGCTTTGTGTGTTCATGCTTGTGTTCCTCGTGCCTTTTGTTCATTTGGTAAGTTAAGCATACATAAATTGTTTCTTCCCTCACTATCCACAGCCTCCAGTTCCAAGAAGTTGCTTTCAGTTAGTTGAGAACATTCAGGTTTCATTTCTGTTTGATAATTTCCTGTGTTTCAGTCTCACTGAGAGAAAGTTTGTTTCTACTTCTCTTGAAGGCTGCTCGCAAATATGCGAAAAATAAGAGTCTTGTACTTAAATAGTGCTGACGGTTCATCATAGCCTGGGCTTATTCCGTTTTCGAGCCGTGAAGGAACCAAAGTATTGCCTCTCCTTTAAATTTGTCCATAGCGGTGAACGAATCAATTCCTCTGACAGTTTGCTGGTTTTCCTTTACACTACGTGGGTGGAGAGGCAGTGAGGGTGAAAAGTCTCTTTGCCAAAGAAAACAAGTGAACATAAATTTAATTTTGTTCCCAAGGAAAAAATCTCCTCTATTTTGTAGTCTAATTATGTTTACTGAACAAAATTGAGGCGACCTTGTAAATTGAACAGATCTGCAGTGATTCATGGTCAGTATTCATGTATCATATCAAGACGATGACTAAATCAAATTGGTTTTCGCGACTGTGGAGCGTTACTTTAATACCTGAATTTGTTCCTTCTTTGTTTAGGTTCGCTTTACAGAGGACAAAGGCATCAACACGACCAAAGCCTCTCTTCTAACAGGTTATATGGCCTTTGGAGTACTTATGGGAAGTATCGCCTTTGGTATTGCGTGCGATCATCCGCGATTCAACCGCCTCAAGGTCTGCCAGCTCTCTCTCCTTCTCATAGCTATTTCTTCCTCCCTTGTCACCATGGCGAATAAATATGTCTGGATTTGTGTGTACGCGTTCACTTTTGGTGTTTTTGATGGATGCTACGAGATGCTTGTTCCGGTGATCACGCGGGATATCGCAGGCTCTCAAAGAGTAGCGCACGCCATCGGTTTGCTTTACTGTATGATGGCCTTTCCAAAAACGCTCGGCCCACCAATCGCTGGTTGGCTTTTCGACTTATCCAATGACTACAGTGTTTCTTTTTATGTCACTAGCGCTGTAACCATTATTGCAACAGCCGTCATGTTCCTTCTCAATTGGGTTCCACTCCACAAAGATCGCATGGAGATGGAAGAAAATGAAATGCACTCTCCGAAAATCACAGACGAACCTTCTCACGAAAGCGTCTACGATGGCCTCGGGATAAACTTAACACCAGAATCCGACGACTCCGTAACTCGCAGGTGGCTGCCAATTTACTGGGTAGAAAGTCGCGGAGAATATGAATATCGCGAAAAGCTGACAGTGCTGTGACCAGATTTAGTTGTACGGAGGGTTTCCGGGGAGGAAAGGTGGTGTTTATGGACTAGTCGTCCAAAGAGCTCTTTATTGGTTATCCGGCAAATTAAGCTTTAAAGTTACTTTGCATACCAGCTATCATATGTATCGAATAAATTTGGTTGAAGATTCGTTTCAAAAACAAAATGGGAAGTCTAGCGTGTAGTTCGCTTTATTCCCGTGACTTACCATTAAGTCGATGGAGGCCACAACACCAGTGCTGAGTCCAACAAACAGAAGATCAAAAGCGGTGTGAAGACACATAACACGACCATCAAATGTAAACTTATGGGTGCAGTTGCCACTCTAGACAATAAAATAACAAAACCTTTAAATAAAACATTTAGTTGAGGAGTTGGGAAAATGGTTGTCTACCTCGACTCGTTCAGCCCTGTTAGGTTGGTGGGGCGCAAAACATAAAGAAAAGGCAATACTGTCCACGATTTATTCGAGACAAACCCAATTTAGGGCACTAATAACCTTCTTGTTCAACTACTTCACAGAAAACGCTTAGTGATCCAGCTTGTTCCATTGTAATAAAAGAAATAGTTTGTTACCTTTATGTTGTAGCTCCTGACAGTTTGGTCATTGGACCCGGTAAATAATCTGTCTTTTTCTGTTGAAACCTATTGTAAAAAAAGGAAGTTTGTGGTGTAGTATTTCGGGCGTCTCGGAATAGGAATAGGGCATACCACCAGCTACCCACAACAATCGTTACCACTAAAATGTACAGAGCTTGTTACATACCGAAAAAACTTCCTTACGATTTACCCAAAGAAAGTCTTTCTTCAGTTCTTAGAAAAGTGAGAAAGAATACAAAAACAGCGACATTTCGTATGCTACAGAGTCTTTCAAAAGCTTATTCAATCCATAATGTAACATTGAAGTATTATATTTTGGACGCACGGTTATCTCTCCGACCAATTCACCGATCATGAATGGCACAAGTATTCCTAAGTTATCCACGCCACTTTTTGGCGATTGAACTTCATTTCTTTAAGGTTCTTTATTTATCTGCGACAATTGGAAAAGCATGATGTATAAAAGAAACTTAACAGCCATATCTACACAAACCTCGATGCAGTTAACAGCTAGGTGATGTCCTTGGTACTTTTTGACACATTCCCCTGTCTAAAGTCACAAAATTGAAGCGTTAAACAATGAATTTAATAAAAAAAAAAAAGCTATAGAGCCACTAGAATGGTAACGATTACATTGATAAGCAAGTTAAGGAAATAACCTTCTATCAAACAAGGGAAGGGCCAGCTCACCTGAATGTTGAATGATCTGGTAGTTTTATCGGTGGAGCAAGTAAACAGATGACCATTGTTTACCTAAAAATTAGACACAATCTCAATTCTGAGCTCACAACCGACGTTCGTGGTAATAACTGAATCCCGCGACTCAGTAAGAACATTTAGTATATGGCAAGGTAGTCTTAAGGTAAATCCGAGCTTTTTGATTGTTCCTACTTGGTCGCGATTTTGCCATACGTACTGTTTCCACGAAAACCGTCATACACCGTGTATTTTTTTCTCGAAAGCCACTGAGAGCAAACTAAGTCTCTCTGAGTGCCATAAAATAAAATAATTACAAACATCGCTTGCTCGAGCAGCACTATGTAATATTGCCCCTCGGTCGTTTTTGTATGGACTTGCTTTAATCGTTCCGTACTGCCACCACCTCAGGCCACTATTCCCCAGTTCGGCCCACGCGCTCAGTTGGTGAGAAGTTATTACTTTTCACAAGAACAACCTATGTATTCAAGAGTCTTTCAAAATTAATCTCGTAGGGCATATTTTGTACGAAATAAAGATTTAACGTTTCTTTAACAGTGTCTATAAAGAGTAAACAAACCAAATTTCTCTTAAAATGTTTCCTGCCTGTATTAAACTGGTAGCAGATATGATGGGCACTGTCTCAGCGTTTGAACGATCCACCATACTAGAGCATTCTTATCATCTACCAACAAGGCAACCGTGCTGTTTGCGAGCTGCCCATTTCATGAGAAAAATCAAGATAGCTCACCCTTAACCCGCAGACAGCTCCTGTGTGGCCGGGAAACTTTGTCGCCAGTACACCACGGGGTCTCCCATCTGAGAAAGTATTCATACAATGCAGTTACGAACGCATGCTGCATCTGTGACTTACTTCAAAGAACGAACGTAGGTAGTTTAAACGACGTTCCAAATCGTAGTGATAAAGTCAATGGGGAGGAACCACTTCGTTAAAAGACCACTATTCAAAGGACACATCATGAGGTTCTAAAAAAACATGGTCATATTGCCTTTTTGTTTTGTCACCTTTATTCAAGAGAAACCTGTTAGGGTAATTCCTGACCTAGTGATGTGGATCTCTTCCACTTGGAGATTCCACCGTTGAAATACTGTTACACTTATGCGCGTGAAACATTTACACCGAAGACATTTAATTCAGCATTAATGGAATTTTACAAGTAAAACAAGGTAGATGTACTTGAAGATCGAGAAAAACAGTGTCAGAACAAGATCTATACGTGTAAAGTTTAAGACAAGTGAAGATGCGAACCTTTTGTGTTCAGCAAACTCTTCTTGAGGGACTCAACAGAAGAGGACGGAATTTTTAGATGGCTCGGACGGCTGGATTTCTTGCTGGACATATTCCCTAATTGGCTATCCTGAAAAAAAAAAAAGTAAATAATGCACTTCTTTCATATGATTGATCATCCCGGTTCCGTGGAATGAAGAAAAATTAATACTGCGTCTAGCCCTGAATGAAACAAACACTGGTCCATCGCAGATTACTCAAGCTCTTACAACGGTCTCCCTGAATCCACCCATAATTCTAGGTGGAAAGAGGAACTATAAAATCAACGTCCGCAATTTAACATGACGCACTTACCACATCTCGTGTTGGAATTTCATCTTCCGTGTAGCCTCTTTCCTCGGATCCAGGTCCTTCCAGGTCAGTTGTGGTCGTGTGAGCCGCGGCACTCACAACTTGACCCTTTAATTTGGATTCAGTCTCCTCCTTTAATGGAAGGACAGAGGATTTGTTGCACGAAGTATCCTCCATCTTACGTCGTTTGACGGGAACAGTGTCAGTTTTATTGGATTTCTCTTTCTCTCTCAGTTGCGATTTGTTCACCTTGTTTCTTTGTAGTTCCTTGAAGCTTTTCTTACTGGATTGGAAGAAACTTGATTTTTTCAGCTCTTTCGTCGTCTTTCTGGACTCGTTTTTTTCGAGGATTAGCATTTTACGAGGTAAACATTTCCCCTCGACTACATTTGAATTATCATGACTCTCTGCACTGTATGATCTGAACGGGCTGGTGTGTGTTTGAGTTTCATTATCATTTAATTCACGCAAACCTTCACTTTCCTCTTGAGATTTCCAGCGCTCCATGTTTTCTCGCACTGACTGTATTTTCTTTCTATTCACCTCTAAGTTCTTGGAGATACTACCATCTGAAGAGCTCTTTTTCCTGAATGGCGCTTTCTCTGGATGATACATTTGTTTCACTTTCTTCATAAGACCCTCTCTTGCTCCTTTATCTTTGTTTGCTCCATTTGGATTACGCACAGGTGCATTCCCAAGGTTTCCTGAAGTACGGACGGCACCAAGTCCAAAATCTGCACCAAAACTGTTGGTGTCACTTTTTTTACACATGTCTGAGGTCTCTTCGGCAGGTTCCCTACACGCAGCCTTTTCATTTATTTGAGCTCCTGACGCTAGAGTGATATTATTCGCCCCTTCACTAAAATTTATCAGTTGTTTTGATGATTCCGCTAACTTTCCGGCGTTAAGCTTCTCCAAAACTTTTTCATGAGGTAGTTTTTGGCGCTGTATTTTGCCTTTCGAACCAAAATTAGTTGCAGTCCCAACAGGACCATCGCTAAAATTACTTTCTTTTAGAAAGGATTCTTTTTCTTTGGCACGGGAAGTATTTCCGCTGATATAAACTTCTTCCTCCGCGTCCTTGTTTGAAGGTCCCCTATGAATCTTATCTTTGGCAACTGAAACATCGTCCTGACATTTATCTTGCCTTGCAGAATAACTGAGGTCAGAGGTGTCACTTTCACCAGACCCAGAAGAAAAAGAGAATGAATTTTTATCATCAGCAGTAGATACACTAACCTCTCTTGTTACTATTTCAATCCTTGTCGTTGGCACTTGTCTTTCATAACAGGCATTTTCGAGAACGCTCAGTCTCTGATTACGTAGCTCTCCCATTTTGAGGGTAATTCTTTGTTCCTCGCTGCTCAGAGAATCCAGTTCCGTACATAATTTCTGAATCTGCGCGCGAACAGATTTTAATCTGGACTGCACCGCATGCAAATTCTGCAGTTGATTTTGCTCTTCTCGTTCGATAGTCAGTAGTTCTTGAACATTTATTCCTGGCCGATAGGTAGCTGCAGTGTTCTCTATAGGAGTCGCTTGTTCCTGTTTCAATCTTTTGATCAGCTGTTCATATGGTGAACTCGAAGGACATTCAGATCCTTCTGTGGAATTTACTCGCTTACGTTTCATAACTGAAAGGGTCTCTGGATTGGCCGCTTCCCTACCGCCAAGCGCCATGCTGCTATTTAAATCGATCAGTCCTCGACCTTGAAGCATTGAAGGTCTCGAAGGTGATTGGGAATTATCAATAGTAGATCTGGTAGCTGCCGGCGATCTAACTTGGTTAACAGAGGTCGCCGGTATTTCTCCAAAGTATGAGGTCGAGCTCAAATCAATAAGCCCTCGACGATGAAGTTCATGCGTGTCCTCTTTTGCAGTAGTAGCTTGTGTACTTAGAGGTGATACATTCGTGGAGGGTAACATCACACCTGACCTTTTGGGCAAGCCCCCTAAATTATGGCCTAAAGAAATCAAACTACTCTTTTCATGTCCTTCGATTGAAGGCCAATTGAGAAACCGATTCATATCATGGAAGTTTCCTCGTTCAAAAAGAACAGAACGTGAAGAGCCCTCTCCGTGCAAATTTTCTTTCCTCATCAAAGGCGAGTCTAAACTAACACTTCTTTGTCCTCTACTGCGAAGTCTCGCAGGTAAGGGAGATACTTTTTTCCCGTTATCAAACTGACCATCAGTTCTGGTTGAGTATGTGAAAAGTGGATGAGATCTTCGACCATCGGAAGACTCAGCCGTTGAGCCACTGGCGGCACTCGAAACTTTCTTGCCACTATAACGATCAGCTAAAGCTTTACGGACTGCTGGAGGGAGATTAAACCTGGACAGATCAAGAGAATAATTTGGAAGCGAAATCGTAGGAGATGGAGACTGACCGTGTGACAAAGGTGACGTACAAATGTTTGAGCCTTGAGGTGATGGAGAATGGATGTGAGCGGCTAATGGGGAGGATTTGGTGGAAAGTTCGGACGGTGATTTGGACATTTCTTTAACTGGTCTTGTATCAAAAGGATTTACGACGGAATGAGGGACCCCAAGAAGCTTGGTGCTTAAGTTCAAATCAATCATTTCCGTGTCGGCATTTGAGTTCGGAAGCATACTTGCACCAGATGGACGTCCAAGTCTGTCGCTCTCGGACGCTTGAGTCTTTCTGTGCTCAATATCACTAAGCCTCACGGTATCCAGAGGTACCCGAGAACTTCCCGGTAGGGCTGTGATCTCATTCAGGTCAATATTAGCTACATTATCAGCATCACTGGACGAGCCACCCAAATGTACTAACGCACCATGGGAAGGTGCAGTCAAACCACGATCGACTGTTGGCCTAGCATCAGCCTTCAATCCTCGTTGGTTCCAAAACTGACCATGCTTCAGCCCTGTTTTGTAAAGATCAATTTTTGGACCATCAGTTGCATCTGCCGAAGATCCATGAAGCGCCAGCAACTCTTCAAGGTTCGGCACAGTGCCACTCAAATCGATACCGGTATCTGACGTTGTTGCAGCTTCCAGTGTGATACCCGGAGGCTTCGTTGGTACTCTATCGCTTAAGTCAATGTTTGGTCCACTCCTTCCATTTGCCGACTCACATGGAAATAAGTTCCTTGGCACTCCTTGTACAGTAGAGTTAAGATCGATCGTTCCAACAAACTCATTTGAGGCTCGCGACTCGGCGTTAGGCACCTTTGAATTAAGATCGTTTTCTTTAGATCGTGCCAGAGCATTCCTGCCGCCCTCACCTCGATTGTCCTGTTTTTGACGCGTCTTACCTCCGTCGAAACCAAGATGGTCCGGCGGATCGCATGGGGGAGTTATTGGTCTAAAGATTTGCGCACCATTTTTGCGACCATCCCGAATCGTCCTGAACAAATCAGACTCACCATCATTTCCCCTGAACTGATTCCCTCTCGTGCCAAGATTTGGTCCCCTGGCATTTCCCTCTTCGCTTTTAAACACTCTTTGGTGATATGGACAGTACCTGGAATGCAAATTGGGAAAAGTTAAATGGACCAATTGACTGGAATTCATAATACAAACTGCCGATTGTTGAAGTTTATGGCACACCATGACAACCCCCACCCCTAAAAAAAACAACATTTACAATTTTACTCGTCACTGTTCCCTCTCCCTCAAAACTGATACGCCATGGAAAATGGTCTCGTACTCATTGAGATGAGCTTCCTTCAAGACCTCTCTCACTGATGCAAAAGATGAATTTAAGAAACTTTTTTCCCTCTTCAATTTAAAGGAAAACACTTGATTTTCACAAGCCAACTTTAAGTACGAATTCTGGAGTCAGGGGGGGAGACGTCAACTTTTATCTTTCACTGTTGCTGCTTGATTCACGATTTACACACATGCTATAATTAACAATTATTCAGCGAAGTGGCGGTGAATTATTGTTTTAGTATATACCACACAGATATCAGGAAATTAGCGTATTTCTTTCAATATACCGATAATTGATCAGAAATTATACTCAAGACGCGCAATTTTGTCTCATCTGCTGCTCGGAGGTGAATTGAACTTGCTATTCACTACCGAACTAGCCAATCAGCACGCGCGAAAAGCACTGTTCACTTCTGTGGTATATACTAATAAGTAATATTTTCAACGAATGAGACATGAAATGAAGATAACAAACGGTGAAGTACTTGTTCTCAGCGACTGCACCACATGGTGTTCCGTCAATATGAACAATACTGCACTGCGACTGAGAGAAGGGTAACTGGGAGATAACAGGGGCATCTCTAGAGCTGTTGGGTTTACTTGGAAAAGAAGTTGAGCTGTTCACCGTGGGTGCACTGCTGGTGGAGATGGAGACATTTTTCTGACTCGACAATGCCACCCTGGACACTGGACAAGGAATGGTGTCCTCCTGATCGTGAAGAAGAAAGTCAATTCACCATTTTATCGTCCACGATAGGTTAACGTTTAGCACATCAAATAAGTAAAACATACAAGACCTCCAAACATGAAATAGGAATGCAGTTCGACGACACATCATATCCAATCAAACGGTATAAAGTTAACAGCCACTATCCCTCTTACCAGTTCAGTCATACGCACAAATCAAACAGGTCAGTGGCAGCACTCCCAGGAAGACCTAGTACTGAGTCAATTACTTAAGCCTTCCGTGACGTCCGCAACATCACCCCCTCTCTATTTTCGACTTATCAATAAAACCGTTTTCTTTCCCCAAAAATTTGAAAAAGAAGTGTGTCAATTCCACCTGGGCTTCCCGATCATCCTAAGAATCATTGGAACACTGCTTGTGCAACTTGCGGGGGGGGGGGGAGGAGCAAACAACTTGGACATTTAAAATTGGTGTCGTGTCCCGGTAATCTACTAGACTGCCCATAATGTAACTACTTGTTAATAACCTCCTTATTAACAACTTTTACCTCCAAGTCTTTTGGCTCTTTCTTTATACCGAGCAAGGCTCTTAGTTGTTCTTCTCGCTTTTCCCATGGCAAGGAACAGACGGTTGAAGTTGTTGACGATTTATTTGTTTGTTCGCTTTCTTTCGAACTGTTCGTTCCTTGGTTATCGGCTGTTTTTTCTTTTGTGTTCTCTGGCAATAAGTTACTTGTCTCATCAGTACAATTAGTCAAGTGACCCTTGTTATTTTTGCTCAAAGATGAAAGTGACTGAGACTGTTCTTTTGTATTCAAACCAAGATCTTTTTCGCCTCTCATGGATGACGAAGAAAATGCACGTTTCTTTCCTGCTTCCTTGGAATCCTGAGATTTAATCATTTGCTCATCAAGAAATGTAACCGAAGTTACCTTCTCATGAGCACATGTCTCTTCTTCCTTGCCATTTTTTATCCATTTCAGGGATTCGTCTGAAGCTTTTGGAACAGGCATTTCCACCGCCTTTTCGATCGTTTCTTGTTTTGCAAGGGTTGGTGCGGAAGTATTTGTTGACAGTGAAAATTTCCCTCTGGTTGCTAAAGATGATTTTGGGTTGGCAGATGAAGATAAGGCTCCTTTGTTTTGTAGGAAAGAGTCCTCTTTGGCCGCTATGATGGAACTCTCTTTAACTGGTAGAGTTGGACTATTTTTTGTCAAAAGAGAAGAACCCTCTTTAACTGATGAAGGGGAATTCCCTTTGACTGATAGCAAAGTATCATACTTGTTGCCAGGCAAAGAGGCGGCGGCTGATGAGGAGTCCCTTTTGGAAGTCAATGGCCTGGCATCATTGTTTCCTGACGAAGAAGGTTTTCTTTTGGTGGGTGGCGAAGACAGACCTCGAGTTCCTTTAGCAGGAGATGGCGTATCCCCTTTAGCTAATGAAGTTGACCCAGTTTTGGTTGTTTCTGTAGTGTTTCCTTTGACATCCACGTAACCTTTGCTCGCTGAGGGATTTTTGGTAGTTAAATCTTTGGAATCTATCTTTGATTTCCCATTCCTGTTTCCATTAACCTGCTGAGATGAAGCCCCAGATTGGGTCTGATATTTCACCCTATCCATTGTTTTGTTGCCATCGCTGTTCTTTCCCTCTGATTCCTTACCCTTTGGTGACTGAGAGTTGACCTCAACGTTTTTAGAAGCACTATTCTTAATAATTCGGTTATCTTTGTTCTGTTCTTCTGCTCGAGCGAGTTTACGTGGTTTACTTTTTCTTCCACTTTTCCCACCAGGGCTCTCTGAAGAAGGACTTGTTTTTGTCTGCGACCCTTCTTTGATATCTTTTTCTTTGTTGTCTTGTGATGTCTTTCGTCTTCCTGGTTCCTGTTTGTACGGTGGAGTTTCTCTTCGGCTTCGATTACCGGGACTGTCTCTCCTAGTTTGTCTCGAATAGGTTCGTTCGTCATTCTCTCTGAAAGTCGTGAAACTCGATCCAACCACACTTCTTATCCTCTGACGTCCGTCATGAGATGAAGTATTCCCACGTCGACTAATTCTGTCCCTCAGATCACCAGGTTGACTTCCAACAAACACCCTTCGTCTCGAGCCTGGAGCATAACCATCTGAATAACTGTCACTCGGAGATGGTTTGCCACCGTCTCTTGACAACATCCTTTCTTCTTCTCTGCCTCTATAATAACTTCCGTTTTGCCGCTCACTCGCATATTGCCTACCACCGTCCCTGATCGTCACTCTGTCTCCCTCTCTGGTTCCATAATAACTTTCATCTTGCCTATCATAGTTCCTTGAATGGTTCATTCTTGCGTATTCAGGGTCGTATGAAGGCTCTCTGAAATCCCGTTCATCGTCAAAACCATTCCAAACTGGGCGGCTGTCGTTTGCATGGTCCTGAACATCATTAGGCCGCGGTGAGATCGGCCCTCTAACCCTTCTCATCTCTTCTTCCTGGTAGTGAAATCCATAATCCCCAGCACGACTAGCTGGAGGCAAATGTGGGTCCAGCAGACTCGGTATTGCTCTTTGTGGACCCTGACTAGGATAACTTCCATATGGATGCTGATGATCCCTACGATAATCATCCATAATTGTTTCCCCGTCTTGATCACTAGAGTAATTCTGAAAATTTTTCACACCTGTGAAATCATCCGCAGCCCAATCAGACAGTTCTCCTTCTTCTTTTTCTTGAGGTTGTCTCTTCAGTTTCTGCTTTTCTGGGATCTGCGGTTTGTGTTTTTCAGACCTCGGAAGTTTTTCTTTACCTGGACTCGCTAATTGTTTTTTATCTGGACTCCATTCTTGTTGGTGATCTCTACGCCACTTGTGTATATTCTCCTGGTGACTGTCGCCATGCAAGTGACTTGTAAATTCCGAAAGTCTTGTAAACTCTTGTTTGCATAAGCTACATGGATGCTTGCAATCACTACAAAAAAGGAGGATAAAATCCATTTTCAAATAAGCAAGCAAGATGTTTATCTCCATAAGGTAACTCCTGAAAATTACATACATGGATGTTGAAGGATAAATTCAACCCTTGCAATAAAATTTGTTGTCTCTATGTACAAGTTTTAAATTCAGTGCCATTCATTATTAAAAACAAACCAGAAGAACAATTTTTTGTTTGTGGTTAGCCTCATAACTTTTTTTTTTCACGTTTCAACATAATTACCTTCATTACTACTTGACTACTTGTCTTTTCCTTTACGTTTTTTTTACTATTTGTTTTTGCATTTTCTTTTCTTTTTTTTTTCTCTGTTCCTTATTTTGTCTTAGTTTTTGGGTGGTAAAAACTATGGCATTTAAAACTCTGTAAATTACTGCACTATTGAGGTGTCCACAACAACAATTCACCTGACCTACTTTCTTAGCTTCTGTCCTTACCAACATGTAAACATTATGAATGTAAGAATACGGACTAAACTGTATATTTGAACCAATACTTTTATCCTGTATGTACGGGTACATGCGCAGTCTACATTTACCCATCAAAATACAATATTTAGAGACAAATACATCAGTTTTGAGACATTGATCAGTAACAATCTCCACCATTGTCCCTTCCAATGAATTGCTCCTTTCATGTAACAATGTAAGGGCAAGGAAAACTGTCACCAGCTGTACTCAAAAAGAGTCAGAGTTTGACAACAAATTTATTTCAGATCTATTTCTTATAATCTCAGTCTCTTTGTCCCAGTGAGCTTGTCACAAAAAAAAGAGGTTTGCTACCCAGAAGTAAACAAAACTAACTTGTCCTGCAGCAAGACTATCAAATCTAACACTCTTATTTCAAAGACAGGATAAGGTATTCCAACAAATTTACATGTTTTCCAAATGGATTATCTCTACTTTTATAAACTAGACTCTCGATACTTTATAATTTTGGTCACTCTGACTTACGCTCATATGTCAGGTTTGATACTCTTTACAGAGGCCAATTTACATTATCAACTAAGTTGATAAAACCAAAATAATCTTTTTAATAACTGCAAAGCACCACAGTTTCTTTAAAAAAAAACCCTCTTTATCAGTTTGTAAAATTATTTGTGTTTATAAGGACATGTGGTTCAGATACCTATGCTGTTGTGAAAGGGGGGCTTTTTTTTCTGCTGTCTACTTAATGCATCACAGTAAAATTATTTCCTCTTCAAGACAGGCAATCTATTCATGCATCACCTCACAGAAACTGCTACACTGAATCCCAAGGGAAAGTATACAAACCAATTCATCATCAAATAATAGTGACTAACAGCAGGGGAAAGGAAAAGGTTAAGATATCCTGACTAACAAGTACATTAAGGAAAGCAAATAAGGAGACGTTCTAGTCTTCTCAGACCCTAAACTACAGGTAACATCCCCTGCATCTTCTCTGCAATGGTTAGAGGAGGATGCTAAAGAACCCACACATTTATGGCAAAAAGCAGGGAATTTAGCTCCTGTTTCTGTGGTCTGGCCTTGTTATTGTTTAAAAAGGTCCCAATTTAAACTAGTATTATAGCTAAACATGGCTAGCCTGTCTAATCATTACAAATAAATAAATAAATAAATAAGCAATTAATCATGAAATAAGTACAGTTCCATATACCTTCCCTTTTCCTTGCTTAGGTTTGTATGGTGTAGTATAGACCAAGTGTGCTCCTCCAGCTCCTATCAGGAAAACATTAACAGTGAGTTAATTACCTTTTAGGTTGCACATCCAGAAAATATTTCAACTGCTACATGGGATATATTGTTTTCATCTATGAATGACAAAAGTGAAAACAAACAGAATGTTGTTCTTATCCAGAAAACTGTCACCTCTGCAAGCTTTCACAAAATCTGTTATCAATCATCTGCATACTAGAATGAAATTGAATACATGTAGGACCTCATTTAAGAGCCTGTGTTAGTGGTGTCTTATTTGTGATGCTTGATGAAAAAAAGGCCATGAGGCTGCTAAAATGATAAGTAGAGCCTTAAGTTGAGAAATTAGCAAATATATTCATTTAGATCTTGAGTGCTTCCACTCAACACATTTCTTATCAATTCAGTGAGTTTAAACAATAGCCAAATAGCTTGCCATGTGACACTTGTTGTCACAGACATACGAATCAGAACATTGCTCTCTGACCTTGGGATGTAAGTTAATACCAGCAAAAAAATATTTATAAAAACACCATGATAACCAGTTGAACCAGAATGACTTAAAAAGAGTACAAGTATCTGACTAATGAATTAGAATTTTGAAGCAAGAAATTATCAATTCCACCCCAGTACAGGAGTAATCATTTCACTTTACACATGCTGAAGAGCACTGATTCTAATCAAAATGGAAATGACTAGCTTGTCCCTATAAGACACTTGTAAAGCTTTTGATACCTTGATAAAAATCCATACAGTGGACCAAAAATTCCTGTCTCCTCTCTTAACACTGGTTAAATATCTTTCATTTTGAAGTTAACATTTTTTCCATTGATTTTCTTCAAGTTAGCTTCCTGTGTGTCTCCCTTGAGAGATAACCAAGACATTTGAATGACATGAAAGTGATCTCAGCCACTTGGAATTTTATATTTGTTAAAGGGCAGATAAAACTCAAAACCACGTCAATTTTGGCAGGCAGTTCAGCCAATTTCTCATCTCAACCTTCTAAACCTCAACTCTTTCAAGGATGATCAAACAACTAACTATGCAGGGTACAACATTATTAGAAAACACTCCTCAAAACCAGGATAGCAAAATAACAAAGTTGAATACATATCAACAGTAGTAAGTAATAACCTGAAATCCACAGGAGATTTCAATAACCATGAAGAATAGAGATCACATTGATTTATGCATGAACCAGTTGCTCACTGAACTAGACTGATCTTTTTGTTTAATAAATTAACAGAAGTTCAAGAATAATGTACTTACTACTAAATTTTTTTAAATAAAGATTTGCATTAGTGACTTCTCAACACTAAGCTGTGCCATTTTTGACAGAAATTATTCACAAAGATCTCATTAGAGGTCACGAACCAAACAAGAGTGCTTCACATAATGTTGTCATGACATTAGATCTTTTTATTGTAGGCATCAAACATTTTCGAATCGGTTGCTGAAACGTTCATTATAAATTCATCTAGTTGAAGATTGATTGCTGGGGCTGATGTCTGAAGCCGTGCTGTTTAGAAAAGCTAATAAACATTACGAACAATACATATTCATCCGGGCCATGACGAAAAAATACTCCAAGGTTTGTAACGATACAATGCCAGCTCAGTTTCCATCACTGAAACTATTTAGTCGAGATGTAGCGTGCTAGCTTTGCAAACAATAAAATAGCATAAAACTTAAGTCCTCCAGACATTCATGATATGAGCTTTCAAGAATGTAACTTATGCATCTACATGTAAGGGCTGAGCTAAAAAGCGTGTCATGCCTGCAAAACAATTTACAGAAGCTTGAACTTACTCTTCTAGTCGTAAAATCCAAGCTGCACAATTCGCAGTAGTAATTATCGCAGTTGCCAATTTCGTTGTCCATATCTTCCAAGCCTCAAAGATAAGCTTTGGTATTTGGTATTTGGTCGAAAATAACGTCAATCGCCAAGCTATTCCAAACAATTTTCTACCTCACGCCTCGTGAGCGGCTTCAAGTTACCAGTCGTGTCAACATGAACTTGCTAGAATTTCCATAACAATCAGCCACCGAACAATCGTGATTTTCAAATGTCGTGTCTCAGAAGGTCACCAAGAACGTGGCGTACATGTAGAAGAGTGCGTGGTGTGACAAAAACTGCTGAGATCGGAAAAGGTCCTTTTTTTAGCCAGTATTTCCGGAAATACGCAGGAATTCCTTTCCGCCTCGTAACAACTTAATGGCTGTTCAAAGCCAAACAAGCTTTGAATGGGCTCAGCGAATAATTTTTGGATCAATTTTGTTTTGTGTGACATAAAATGTAAACGTCGCTCAACAATAAAAGAACGCTGACTGAGAGCCTCGTTTTGGTTTTCTTTTTAACTTTGGTCACCGGAAATGCGCGACAAACTACTACAAATCAGTCACGTTTGGTACTTAAACAGGATGGGCGTTTCGGAAAGAGGTGGGCTTTACTGACGGAAATGTTCTTTCCGTTGTCCCTAAATGTAAGAAAATAAGCGAAAATAACTTTGTTGAGGGCATCACAATTGTGCTTTGGCCAAAAGGCGTTTTAAATGACGGATATGCCTGCAATTCTGAGGTTTGGACAAAAGACAATTTTGACTACTTTTCTGGTGAAATTTAATAAGCTACTTGATGAAAGTATACCAGTTTAAAACGTTCAGAGGTGGAATTTAAACACAAGCCAAACAGAAAGTGGAACAAGTACATGACAAACGGCTGACGAGCAAATTCAACTGTATAATGGAACGAGGTTGTGTACTTGTGTACAAGTAAGAAAAAAACAGCCAACAAGAGGAACAACATAACCAGAAAATATTCTTGGTAAGAGAAGAAAAGAAAAGAACGATGTCGAAATCATGACAAACTTTCCTTTTACGATTAAGACGTGAGGTCTTGGCAGATATTTTCTTTTCTGATTTCCTGTTTGACAAACGTACCAGCTGTTTCATTTTGGAAGCTCAAAGGTTAAGATCCGTTTGCACACCCAATCAAGCGCGCACTAATGAACTAGATGATAAAATTAGCGAGTAGTAGTAATTTTGCAGCTATATTGCATACGCCTTTAAAAAAGGAAAAAAATTATGATTATAACGTATGAATCTGGCTATCGAACGACTAATGGTCAAATCATAAGTGTTCAAACTCATCGAGTTGAAATATTTGTGTAAATCTTAGTATCTATATTCGTGTTTTCATTGCCTCTACTGTTAAACGAAAAATAGTGAAGGCCAAGAATCAGGATAACTATCCAAAGACGTGACAAGTTAAGCTATTCTTAGCAGATATTAGATTTTACAGGGGTTAACAGTCCTTTACAGGGCATAAAAATCCTTTCAATATCCTTCATAACTTGTTTACAATATCTTTCCATTGTTCTGTCTGGTACATGCGCGATTTTTAAAGAATGGTTCTGCATGTAGTAGCTTTACTCCCAACTCATATCTGGTCCGCGGTTCTCGACATTCAAAACACAAGGTACTCTAAACAGTTATTTAATAATAACAACTATAAAATAGTGAGGCAAAATCGAGCTCTTTCGATCAAAACTCACGATGCCCTAAACAAAATCTCACACGATTAGCGTCACTAGTGTTGACCAACAGGACTCTGTCGCTAATTATTGATGTCAGGTATTTGGTATTTTAGGTTATTTTTGTCAATTAAATAATTGCAGGTAAACTAGTAGTCAATCAGTATACATCGAACTACGTTATGACAATCTCCTTTAGAACCAAATCAAGATATTTTACTAATTCATAAGATATTGCATCATACCAAAGACATAATTATGATGTAAGTGTTTCTTCGGCGCAAAATATTTAACGTCCTGCATCAGGATGTCATGTAGAACCAAGAAATTATTGGTAGAACTTCAACAAAAATTTGAAAGATAAAGAAAGTCTAATATAGCCTTACCTTAAGCCCGTTATTTTTAATTTGTACCTTCTATATTTTCATGCAAATACTCTTTCGTGTGGGTCATAGTTTGACCTTGCAAACGGAAAAACTTTTGACAGTAACGCAATGTTACATTATTAATATCATCTTAATTATTATTATTGTTTTGTCTTGCAAGTCAGTTCATGCTGACAAAATATAAACGTGCATGCGAAAACGTGCGTGTCACTCGCTCCTGTCACAAAAATGCATCTGATTGGCAAGAATACGTCCGACTCATTTTCGCGCCAAAAAACGCGGCTGCAAATTTAGGCTGTCGCAAGCAGTTACACTCCAAATACCTCGTTGGATTTATCAAAACACGACGATGGTTCCAGGTTTCATCGAAAAGTTACGTCGGTAAACAGAAGGAGAACGAGAAGGTAAAATAATACAATTTCATCTTTAAAGCAGTTCTGGGCGAAACACTATCAAGGGGACGTAAAGCGAAATTTCAATTCGTGTTGTAAACAACGAAATTATTGCGCTCCCTAAGCGCGTATTTAATTCATCAAACTGTACAGAATCCAAGGATTCGATGACATTTCAATTCCTGAACGAACCTTTACAGTCCATATTATATTATCGAGCTTAAATGAAATAAGTAAGCTTCTGATGTGAAGTAGTTGTTAGCGCACGTACCGAACCAAACGGGACAGTTTTATAAAAATAGTGTGATTTATCATTTATCATTTCAGCCGAATCAGCTGATAGTTTGAGGTAAAACAAAGTGAGAGGAAGACAGAACAGCTCCTCTTTGAACATAGCGTAAACGTTACTAACTGTAAGCCTTTCATGACAGGAAACTTTTGGAAAGTTTACAGTCTAACCGAAACCTTTCGAAAACAAAGCATTAGTCCCAAAGGTGAACTTTTGTTTCCGCCATCGTTTCCTGTTATCAAGTAACTGTATGCAAAATGAGGTCCAGGACTCTTGCCAAACTTTTATGCAATACCAGAGCCACAAAATTAACCTAAATAGTAGCCGCTATAGTGATTTAAAAATGCCCGATTGAGCCTGGGACGAAGTCACCCCGTTCACCAAAATCTACTTTTGAGCGAATTTACGAGCCGATCCAAGCTCTTTAAGAGCATAACAATAACGTTAACTTGAATGTCGTCTGGTCTGATAGAAATTGGTGTTATTGCAATGAAAGGAAAGGAATATTACAGATTGAAGCAATTCAGTTTACCTTTGTTCTCCGTCTCCTTTTGTTCCACATTACTGAAAGATCGAGTGGTTTCCAGGAAATATTGTTTTTGACAAATACTCAGTTAAAATTACCCCAAAACTTATGACTCTTATTCGGTTACGACTCGCTGTTGAGAAGTAGCAATGAAATCATTGGTAAAAGTGAACTGTCCTTCGATAGGAGGAAAAAAAGTATAGAATACTTTGCCAAACGATATTTTCTTAGATGAGAACGATATTTAAATTGCAAATTCTTTTGTTGCTTACCTGCAGGTGTATTTGCGAAACAAAGAGAGAGGTGTGAAGTTTGGTTGATGTTTTCATTGTCCAGTTAAAGTAACGTACAAAGGAAAATGGTTCGTATTTTCATTTTCTTTTAGATGAAAAGATAAGCTTTACTTTGAATTCATATGAATTTACACGTGTCCCTTAAAATCTGGTTCCATCATCTTTAAAACGAAATCACTGACGTTCGCAATAAAAATTAGAATGGGCACTGTGTTGCCAATCCTTAGTTGCGGCGTTTCTTTAGAAATAACATCGAGACCAAAAGCCAGAATTTCCCATCAGTACCCGCAACATTCAACAATGTGATAATCACTTCCAAACAAGCAAGGGAAAACTGTAATGGTCCATAAACCAGAAATCGAAAAGCTTGTCCCATCTGTTATTATATTAACATTTGCAAAGTGCGTCGACATAAAAGGGTACCAATCATTCATAACTTCATCCATAAAAGTTATTCACTTTGATGATTTGCTGTCTCTATACAAATCATATGACGATATTTTAACATTTACTTTCTTTGAAAGTCGGTCATCTACAAGCTAATGATAAGAAATAGCATTTTCTTGGTCACTGGAAACGAGCAAATAGCGGCGCGCGAGAACCGATGGGAGTCCGAGAACCAGTAGGAGTCCGAGATCGACCGAGAACCGGCAGGGTCTGTAATCTGCCTTTTCGCCTATCCTCCTTCTCGTCTTCTGATGACTGAGAGGCGGGTACGGACTGCTCGATTATGCTCGTTTCTTATGACATCAAGAAAAAAATTCACAATGATTTTGAGAATTTCTTGTGATCTGCTACTTTTCCCCTCAGATTCTCAGTATAAAATAGCCTTGTGAAATTCGGCGTGATTGTATTTTCTTTTATCGACTTTTCGTACAGAAATCAATGAATTTCGTAACCCTCGTTATTCTTTCGAAGATAACGGTCGTCATGTTTGTTTAAAAAAATGTAAATTCAGTCTCGTGATCAATGTAGTAATTCAGTCTTTTGACATTTCAAGAAACCTTTGTTGACAGCAATGTAAACATAGCGAACAAGGGAGACTACCGGCATAAAACGATAGCTTCACCCTTTACACCCTAACAGCCATCAGCATGCATTTTCTCCATACTGTTCTCCACTCATTTCCAAAGAGGCTAACAAGGAGAATTTGTTTCACAATCAAGAGCTGCTTTAGTTGCTAATCATCTCCTCTATTCTCATGACTTTCGTGTTTGATTCAGGGGTGGTATTGTGAGGAGAAATTAGATGCTGGTCTCTCTTAGGGGCGAAAGGGGTAACAAAGCATTTGAAGAGTTTCTCGAGGATGTCCGTAAGCTTGCTTTAATCCGAACTCAGCACCATTCAATCTCAGTTATTTTCCTCCACTGTAAAATTGAATTTGAAAATTTAATTGAAAATCAATACAGCGAGTAAATTTTCGAACTGAATTCATCCACAAATGTTTTCCTATTGTGCAACTGTTCTCAAAGCTTATCAACCCGCTGCAGCTATACCTTTCAACTTTGTCAACATCAATGTCAAGAAGAAAGTAGTATCCGAAAGATGGTCTTCAATTTTTCGTCGACAGAATTCGATAAAGGAACAAAAAACAGAAACAGAAAACATACATCTGTGATCTCGTATCATATCTTTACACTCTACAATGTAAATGTAATGATTTGTGATTTTTCAAAACGCCGCACACCATATTACCAGCTCAAGATACATGTAAATGCGATGTAACTGATCCAGCATAATTCTGAGGTTACACATCGTACTTGATTAGCCGTAAATCGCGAAACTTACCTTGTAATTTAAAATTATTAAAAGTTTAAACCATGATTGATGGAACCGCAGAACTTTGCCCGGCGTGCTGCGTTACACGGATAGAATAGACTGCTTTGTTCAGTGGAAAGCGGTCAACGAATGTGTTTACCTTTATGTTAATAAGTAACGCACGTTTCAACATGCAAATCAGTGAAAAAGGTGTCGAGGCAAACTGTAAACGACCGATAACTATTGGTTGATTGAGAATTTTTTTGTGGTGCGACTCCATTAAATAGAGAAGTATTAATTGAAGTAGAAGGAGGCTCCTCATAGAGAGGCCACAGGCCCAGAGTCAGACCTGGGGTAGTACAAAGCGATGCCTATGGAACCGTTGAGCTAGAGCCATTGTTTTTGGAAACGCCTGCAAATTTAGGCCCTTGTCTCGAAAGTCGATTTGCTAATTTTTCTTTTGCTTCGGACAGCTGGTCACTGTTAACAATCGGTTAGCAGTACGTCATCTTGGACAACAGAAGTCGTATAAAATTGCATTCTCTTTTTCAAGTTGAACCTGTTCTCGGTGTCCAATTAGTTATAGAGACGCGAAAGTAGCGCAAAGCAAAAAAAAAAAAGAGAGAGAAGGTCCCATGCTGTTTTCCAGTAAACAAAACCTCTTCTTGACTGCATAGTTTATCAATATCTTGAAAAGGTTGTCAGTTCGTTGCCAATCTCTTGATTTCCTCTTTTAAAAATTTTCTTGAAGGCCTTTCTGAATTCTTGATTCCTACATGTATAAACCACTGGATTGACGCAGGCGCTGATGGATGCAATTAATGATAAAATCGTCATGACACGAGTCATTTCCTCTCGCTCATCATTGCCAATAAACTGTTGGTGCAGAGTTCCTATTAAGAGGGGTAAAAAACAAGCCATGAACGCGCCGATGATAATACCATACGTTATTGCTACTTTAATCTCGAGCTTTCTCATCCTTTCGCCCTCCAAGTGAGCATCATGTTTAAGTTTTAATTGTTGATGACGTGACACTTTCAGGATATACATGTAACTACCAACAGTCAAAGTGCAAGGCAAAACGATGTATATTGAGATTATAATTGCAGCAAAGATTTTCGATGTGTTTTTGAATTTGTGTTCATGATATGACAAGCACAAATGAAATGAATCATAGTAATCGACGAAGTCTTCGTACTCTGCGTCGGGAAGCGAATGAGGAGACACAACAGTTCCTATCACAGGGAGTAGCCATATGGCAATAAGTGCAGTTTTCGTTCGTTTCCCCGTCACAATGGTTTTGTAGCGGAGTGGAAACCTTATCGCGATAAATCTGTCGATACTGATGGCTGTCAAATGTAGAATTATCACACACATTGTACAGAAAGCAATTTCTGAAATGGCGTGGCACGTTGAGTGAGACTCCTCACCACTCATGCGATTAACAACTCGGTACACGAAAGCACTTGTCATGAGCAAGTCGGCGAGGGCCAAACTGAAAATTATCATATTTGGAACTGTTCTCAGAGCCCTAGTCCTCCATATCACTGCACAGACTAAACAGTTTCCAAACAAAGTTGCCAAGGTTAAAACTACGTGAAAAATAATAACAAAGATATTAAACGCTGTATTGTGCATCCCGACTTAGAGTCGCGTGCTACCTTGTAATTCGATGTTGTCGCCTCTCAGCCCAAAACAATCCTTTTAACCAAACATTGAATGGCTGATATGCGCTGATTGAGGGTAAATAGCAAAACTGAATCCTCTTTTTCTTCTTCACTTTGATAATATCCTTTGATTAAAACACCGTGAAATTCTGCCTTTCACCAAATGGTGATAACAAAAACTAAATAAGCGTCGAAAGAACCCGACCTTGTCCCAGTTTGAGCGTAGTCGTCAATAAAAGGAGCAGCTGCCGCACAAGCAATGAATATTATGATGAGTGAGTGACAAATTGTCACCGATTTCGATTAAGGCCTAGTTTATAGCATAGTTGCTAAGTTAAATTTCCTTATCAGACGAAACGACAAGTCCTTCATCCCAGATTAGTGCGATAAGGGATGCCCACTCTGGTTCACTCATGCCGTCTACTTTTTTCCTTTCTTTCTAATTCAAATACGGCTGCCCATACACAGAACTACGCTATAACAACTCTCAATTGTCGAGCCAATTGCGTCGTTTTAATAACTGTCATCCCACCGTATTTTAATTATCCGTTTTTCAAAAAGCGCCACACAAATCTCTCGAGTTACTGTGCACAAAAAAAAAATTTATAATATTTATGCCTATTAAACTCCTTCGCCGAAAATATAACTGCTAGCGTGTTAAGAAAATTATCAAATGGAAACCGAGGCAACATTTCAAAGGGTCATTTATTCAAATGGATATCCTGAAGACACAACATGCTTTTAAGCCCTACTGGGGTTTATTATACTCTACTAAACAAGAAATTAATTAAAGATATCTACATTATTGATTGAAGGAAACTGGAAATTTTCGTGAGGTTAAAACCACTGGAAATTGTTACCTGGATACAAATTAAAATTTGGTTTATTTGATGCTACATAAAAGTATTTGTATTTGCCACTGTGTTGTCATCAATCAAATTTAAGAGTCGTATGAAGATGAAAGCGAAATTTCTCAGGGAGGTAACTGAAAAGTGTTTTAATTGAAAAGGAGGGCATTAATGACTTTTGGCGAATGTAGCATTACTGTGGATTTTTATACCTGACGTTCCACTTAGATATTGGCCGGATTCTCGTTAATATCCACACCGATTTTCACTTAGTTTATTTATTCATCGAGTTATCTTTTTCAATCATAACTACGCTGAGCAATATCCTCCCCTCCCGGGCAGAATAGTTTTGTCCTCGCCCCATATCCCCTCGTCAAATGATCCAAGATGGCAGCTCCCTGGAAATCTAATTTCAGCCATTAAATAGATATGCTCATCATCAAGTCACTTACATTGATAGAATATTTTGACGTTCTCCAGCCTTTGCTTTAAACTCTATAATTCAAGACGAGATGTGAGAGTTAACTGGACAATGCTAAAGAATGGAAGTTCCTGGACGATCGCCTGATCACTTTCCTGAACTTTTGGTGAGTGTAAAACTGCTCTAACCGCATTAAGTTTCTAAATTTACATGTAAATTTGGATCGTGAAGTGGTACTTCGCGGCTCAAATATTAATTAGCTTTTTAAAACCTAAAAGCTTTCTTCGGAAATCCAGCAATATCATCTATTTCATCGATTTCCCTCTTCTTGAGCTTTCCAAGCTTGCGGAAGGCTCACCTCGTTAGTTTGGCTGGGATTTTCTCATAGGATACAAAATTTTTCTTCTGGAATTAAATGAGCAGCAATTATCGTAATATAGAGAGGGGAAATCCATGTGGCATATTGGCTCACTCACCTTCTGTTCTCTGGAATGGTATAAAGGATGTTCCCGGAAGAGAAAAAAATATATTTTAAAGATAGGAGGGTAATGCACAAATTATACCCTGAAAGGGGCACGCGCGCGCGTCGCGGCGCTTTAGTGATGTTGTTACTTTGAAACTGATAAGCTGGTGGGAACATGAGTTATGATGTTTGAGATGGTAATGCTTACAAAGCGGAAATCTCAAAGTCTCGTCTCATTCATATTTTGAGTAGCGACCTTCAAAAGAGCAAAAGCTTAAAATTTGATGCGTATGTAAATTTTTTTCTAAAAATTATGGAGATTGCAAGTTATTATATTCTTAGCTGTAGTTTCTCAGGCTTCTGATATAGGCACCAATAAGCGCGCCAATCAAGACAAAATGGCGGGTGCTATAGCTGCTCAGGTAATCAAAATATCAGTCAGCATCAACGACCCAACAAAAGTATTTCTTTTCATTGCTACCCTCCTCAATAATTAGAGTGAGAAAAAGAGAATTCCCGATGACCTCATTATCTTGTGATGTACAAGTCAAGCGAGCGATGTATGTAGGCGCAGGCGCTCTCAATTAATAATTTTTTTTTTTCATCTTTTGTCTTAAGCAAATTTCTGGCGCTAAAAATGGAACCTGAATTTTTTTTGCTCTTGTACTGTTAGCTCAACTAATAATAACCCTGCCCGACGAAAACACTAACGACTCGCGTCCTCTTCCTTTATCCTAAATCAATGATTTAGAAAGTACTTATGTTACCTTTATATTTTGTGATATCGTCCTACCACATCTCTTCGTGATTTTCCTTCTTAGGTCTTTATGAACCGCCTTAGCTGTATCTGTATTTTAATTACATAAGACCCATGACTCTCCTTGAGTAGCACTAACGTACATTAAATCAGTCTTTTCGTAATGAATCTCTTTTTAATTTCGATCCACGTATATTTTCCGTCTTCACTTACCTATCTGTAATTGTTAAACTTTTGATCTCGATTGCTACATTATAAGACTTCCTTTACACTCTCCTTCACTGTCGTCGCATGAGAAATCGCTGAATGTTTTGGTCACTCTAGAAGTCGAAGGGTTTGTAATAAGTAAGAACAACCGCAGCGGAAACTCTATGAAAAGGAAGCATTCATCTGAAACAATAAAGTTCAGAGCTCACTTTGAAATCCACGTGATTCAGGAAAATTTAACATTGACAACTCGTAATTTTTTAAAATAAACAGTCGACATCAAAAAGAAACATTAGATAGAAGACATCTTTAGTGCAAAGTCGACCAAAAATTCGTTTTTGTTTAGGCCGTTTAGTAGCGTAAACTTACAATTTCTTTGAAGGAAGCGACGCAAAGAATATCTAGCGTAACTTCATATGAACACAAAAGCTAATTCTGTGATTCAATTATTTCCACCAAGGGGTGAGTGGTAAAATTTGCCTCCGGGGGCCATGCATTGTATTGCAATAAAAGCTACGTGTCTCATTGTTATTTGTCTTTCTAGAAGTATCCCTTTCTGTCAGCCGCCAATATGAATGAAATGTGTAGGCACGTCCTAAACTCGAATGAAACTTGGTGGGTTTCATCAGAGGATTTCGCCGGCTTGTTGTTTCCGATGGGAATGCGGCAAGAAAAGGTAATGAAAAATGATTTTTCGGAAATTAGTCAGTCTTAAAGTATTAGCTGCGGACAGCTTATTTCTTAATGTGTAGTTTTTCCAAACAGGAATTTGTCGCCAGGGCAGAAATTTTTGAAGGTAGCTAAGAACTATCTCGATTTAATTACACACGAATTCCTTAGTACTATGATAAATGACTTTATTTGTATCCTTCTTTATTAGTTTTAATCATAGCGAGACAGCTTAAATAGACATTGGTAAGATTAAGTAGTCTTAAAGTTTTCCAAGATCATCGTATAACCGTTATTACAACAAAGCGAAAACCAAAACAAACACATTAACACCTTTAGCAAAACTTATGCTGAAATAACAGAATAAACATGTCTTCTGTCTTCATCATGTTGATAAGCGCTAAACTCGCAGAACGAAAATCATGTTCGCTCTGTATTCGTGGAATGAGCAATTTTTCGCTAACTGAGTTGGACGATGATTTCCGGTGGAAGCTAATTGACTGAAAAATTTTCGAAAAGTGGCGGTCTCTGTTTAGTCTATTGAAAAGCAGTGACATAAGTAATTTCTTTCTTCTTCCCATTGAACTTTTAATCACCTAATTTGCTGTTTCTTAATTTGAAGCTTTGAATGAACTTTGACGAACCCAAATCCGTATAAATTGCTTCCTTTCAAATTTGGAAAGGTTTCGCTTTATTTTGTTACTTATATTCACGCCTGTAAGAAAACGTTTAATCGTAAAATTGGTCCTGTTTTGCCAAAGTGAAGTTCTTCTCGACTGCGTTGTACAGCGTTGTTCATATGATCCAAAATTCTCTCGCGGGGATGTGGTAAAATTTCTTTTTTACAAAGTCACGTAATATCCTTATTGTCAAAGTGTTTTTTAAATGAACTGGAACACAAGTTAATTAAAAGAGAGAAAATCAAAGAGAATACGAAAACACCGATTTCGCTTTTCAATACGGGGTCACGACAGAAATCTGGCAAATACGAGCTGTTCAGTAATCCCTGAAGAGAGTCGAAATCACCAGAGAAAACATACGTCTTTTCAGTAACAGGTACACATTTCAACAGAATATTTACTCGCAAACTTGTTCATCAACAAACCACTGTCCGACGGATTAAACTACGGGTAGCAATTTCACCGGCTTTCTGTGTGGGGGCGGGGATTACCTTCGAACCCAGCATCACAAGTAATTAGACTTTGTTAGATAACGATGCTTGTTGAATTGTTGAATTCTTAAGTGTATGCAAACATGCAGACTTGCATTCAAAAGTGATATATTTTTAGCGGTCCTTGATAATTTTTCGGCAAAATCCATTGTCAATTGTGACGGGTGAGCAATCAAGACATTCGACGATTTATGAGGGCGAATTAAGATTCTTCAGTTATTACCTCGCACTGTGGACACAAGTGAACAAGGTTGTTAGACATTCAAGATGAAGTTGTTCAAAGCTTTTTACATGGTCGTACTGTTTGGTTTAACAAGTCTCGATGTTCTAGCAGAAGGCAATGGGTCGTGGTGGTAAGTCAGTGTATTATACTTCCTGATCATGATACCGTTATATCACTTTTAGCCTTTGTGTTGAAACATTTGAATCTCTCGCTCTGTAGGAATCTTGGCGTTAGTAGCTCCTCGAAACCCCAAGACGATTACAATTTCCAGCTTTCTCCTGCCAACGGTGTCAAACCTGTTACACCGAAGCAACAGCGATTGTTTCGGAAGTACCCAGAGTTGGTTCCATACATTGGACTCGGGGCAAAATTCTCTATCAGCCAGTGCCAGTATCAGTTTAAAAACAGACGGTGGAATTGTTCTGCTCATAGTCCTGAAAACGTATTTGGGAAGATTGTAAAAATAGGTAAGCTGGCTTTGAAACTCTTTGAAATTTTTTTGATTGATTTTTCATGTTTTTTTAGTTTCGTTCTAGTATATCCCACATCATCTAATGACAAAGATGAGTTCGTCCGTAACTAAAGCTATACCTTTTTGAACCGGCTTTTCCTTCTACTAAAAACAACCAAAATAATAAAGTTTCCTAATTCCAAGGCCATCTCACTTTTTGAGATTTTGCCGAATCCGCGAAAAGTGTTGAGTTATTTATTTTCGTTACATAGCGTAAAAGGTTTCTCAAGTATCCCCACGATGAACTGTCATATCCGGCTGGTCGTGTGCATTTGATTTACTTATTTCACTTCATTTCACCGCTTCCCAGACACTGCAGCAAGATGTTGAAAGTTAAAAAACAAAACAAAACAAAAAGCATATCTAAGAGAAGACAAAGGACTCTTGAGGCAACCGTGTACAAGGCTCCGTTTCGACTAAATTCATCATCTCTCATAAGCGAGAATCGTTGAGCGAGAAACGCCGAGATCAGCAGCTTTTTTCCGGTCGTTGCCTTTTAGAATTTCATGAACAACCCACGAAGGCAAATATATACTTATTGCATGACTCATCAGCGTATGTTTTATATTTATGGACGTTTGGAATATGCCAAATTTTCATATGTAATCGCTAATCTCTTTGATATTCATTCTTTATGACCTAACGTATGCTGTAAAGTAAATGTAAAAGATTTCGGAATTAAGGCTACATCCATCACAAATAGCCGTTCATTGCTGCGATACATCTGTCTTCTAAGTAACTTTCAAGTTACTTGTTGGAATATGAGTTCGAAATGTGTAGATCAGACTTTATGGCAATACGTATCGCTCGATCTTCCCTCTTTTTTTCGCTTACCCGAGTTTTTGCCTTTGCGCTGCAGAGTTTAGGCGCAAACGTTTGTAACGATTGTTAAATTTCGATATCAAAAACAACAACTCTACCTTAATTTATATACTGAGTTCTCTAGCTTCGCGCCAATTTACTTTCTGATAACTTTACGATGAACATCTCTTCAGCTGGTTTTTCTTTGGATCAAAATTAATTTTAACGCGGGTGGAAGAAACTTTCAGCTTTGCTCGTAAGATGCAAATTTTACTTTCAAAGAGCAATTTTTCTATGCCATGATGGCCCCTTCACTAATTATGCAGGTGAAACTACTTGGCGGATTGTGACTTAATTTTCTCGTATCGGTTTTCTTACTGTCGGAAAAGTCTCGGCAGGAAAGGTGACACTATTATTTATGTAAACGCCACCTTTTAGGTTTTATAGATATTTTTTAAAGAACGAATCTAGGAAACTTTTTTTAAACTCTGTTGTGCCTGTTCCAGCTTGCAGGGAAACTGCTTTCGCTTACTCAATAACGGCAGCCGGTGTATCGCACGCCATAGCTAGAGCTTGTAGCGACGGCAAAGTGACAGCCTGTGGTTGCGACAGTAGATACAAGGGAGTTACCAATGAGGGTTGGCAATGGGGAGGCTGTAGTGACAATATTCATTTTGCTGATCAGTTCTCCAGAAAGTTCGTCGATGCTGGAGAGAAGGGAAGAGATTTTCGCACTTTGGTTAATTTGCACAACAACGAGGCGGGAAGAACAGTAAGTTGATTTTTCTTTTTGCTCTACGTGTAAAAATTTCAAGTAATAATTGCAAGCCAGGGTAATATAAGCCGCAATGATGGACCTTAAAAAAGCCGCAGCCTCAGGCGAAGAGTGAATTGCTTTTCGGTGATGAATAAATCCTTTCCGACTGATATTTTATTACTAAAATAATTGAAATCCATGGACCTAAGTGGTGGAATAAGGCAATATGTGTTTCAGTTTGAACAGCTTAAAGAGAAAGTTTGAAGGATAATAATTTTGACTCACGAGTCAATTCATCTTTAGAATATTTTATAATTGTACTCGTCAGTCTGGCTGACGTTATGATAATAACGTAGAGGAATGTAGCAATCGCTGGGTAAAAGAGAACGATCGGTTGAAAAAAATCGGTACAGAAAGGAAATTACAATACGTACGAAGCTGGTATATTAATTTCATTTTATCTGAGCAATAACAAAACGAAGTGGAATAGAATAGTGATATCTTGAACTGGTAGCCGAGATTTTGTTATACAAACAAGTTGCAAAAGTATAGAAAAAGGGATTCAACCACACAGTTATAAAGCCTGCAATTCAAGAAATAGACAAAGAAGTTGTCTTCACAAATCAGAATGTTACCATATGGCTTTGTTAACGCGGCTAGCGTTAAATAACAAAGTCGCAACATTTAAAGTTAGAATTATTCACGGTAATAAGTGTGTCTGTGGTAAACCGTAATAGCTCGGTTTCCCACGTATTGACGAAAACCTAATTGCTCGGAAAACGTGGTCATGAAATCATTGTCTATTATTTTTCGCCGCGGCTTTTTCGCCGGCCATTAATTTGCATTTTATTACATTTCGCCGGTTTCAATGATGTTCCCACGGTGCTCAGAGGAACGTCTCGACCAGAAGTTAATTTAGTAGGGCCTATAAGACTTTTTATTGTATCATATTTGAACCAGCAATGATTCATACTTCTAAGATGAAAACGGGGCAGTCAATCCACCTTCGATGTGTCTTCAAATCGGAAATTCTTTTTTAACGATCCAACACATCTAACCTTTCGCCGTGTATGTGTCCTTTTCCGATATTTTTGAGAACGGAGATGTATATTCTAACTACGTACAGAAACTCTCCTTCAAAATGATGGGCATTAAAATCGTTGCTATGAACGAGTTACTCCTCCGACTGATTTTCATCGGAAATGTTTCTAATATAATCGCAGTTCGCGTTGAAATGCCAAGTTTCCCAATAACTGATATCTTCCGATCAAAAAATCAGAAACCTGATGAAACAGCAAAGAACGTTCAAAACAATCCACATGGTGGCACCGGCGTCGAACTTTTCAAGAAACTGAAGTTTTGTTTAAAGTAACATATGCATATTGTTACCTAATGTGTTGCGGACATCTTTCAAGCTAACTAAATCTTTGGTCTTCTTTCCTAATGGTATAGATATTCACTGCCTTCAGCGGCGACGCTGGAGCCGTAAATCTTTCTCTCTAATACGAACCATCTAGCTGTCTGTTTAACTCCCACAACTTATTAACATGTAACATCCAGCAAACAGGCAATGGGAATACCCAAAATCAATTATCAGGTGGAAGTCGTTATCTTGATCTAACACCAAAGTCTCGTAACTATTATATTTAGGATGAAATGTGAAGCAGCTAGAGGGGCAAGTGACAATCAATCTTGGGAGGCAAAGGGCTTAATCCGATATGGTCAGCGTTTAAGCAAAAGGCTACGTTATTGCTTCCTGTGTAACTATCTGACCTAACAACTGACAAAAAGATATTTCCTTTTTCAAAGGCAATTCGAGAAAACATGGTTAGAGAATGCAAATGTCATGGAGTGTCTGAGGCCTGCACTGTTCGAACATGTTGGAGAAGGCTGGCTGACTTCAGACGAATTGGCGAGGTGCTTAAAGACAAATTCGACAGCGCTTCAATGGTAGAATTTGAACAGAATAACAATCGTAATGGTCATAATGTTAAGAAAGGAAAATCTTTTCGACCGAGAAATAAACTACATAAGCCTCCTACAAGAGCAGATTTGGTTTACTACGAAGACTCGCCCAATTTTTGTAACCGAAATCCTGACACTGGATCCCTCGGAACGGTTGGAAGACTGTGTAATAACACATCCCTCGGGACAGATGGGTGTGACTTAATGTGCTGCGGAAGAGGTTATACATCGAGTGAAAGCGAACTGGAAGAACTCTGCAACTGTCGTTTCTATTGGTGTTGTAAGGTGAAATGTCAGAGTTGTCGATCGAGGCTTACGCTTCATAGGTGTAAGTAATATTAGAAGAGGAATTATCACGATACGGCTAACTTCATCGCTGCAAAGTGAAACCACAATTTCCTGATAGAACTTTCCCATGTAGACCACGAAGTATAATCAAATGAAGACCATTGACAAGTATCTTATGGGGCTCTTTGTATTACTATGCCTAAGAGCTTTCTAACTTTAAGTCTGAGAAAGTGACATCGATTTTCCCTGAATTCGAAGTTTGGTTGTTTCAGTTAAGAGAGGCGGTTTAATTCTTCTTGTACAGAAAAAGGCGAAGAGTATTGTAGAAAGATAAGATAATAAAGATAAAAGTTACAAGAGTAACCAGACTTCCTTCACGTTTTGAACAAATAATTCCTACTCTAAATTGTTACTTGTTATAGACACACTTGAAAGCAAATGTAGGATGATTTTGATTAGCTTTTGTGTGCACTTTTAAAGTACATTTCTTGTCAATCACATAACGGCTCTGGGCCGTTGTTTAAAACTGTAAAATCTTAATAACACGTCGATTGTTACCAATATTGTTCAATTTCTTGTAGAAGAATTAGAAAATAATCGTTCAGTTTTATGAACGTAAGAGCGTCATAGGTAGAGTTATGCAGAAAAGTAAAGACGAGTATGTTAAAAAGTTTTGAGATTAATCCTTGTGATCTGTTGCGCTGATGTCTTGTCTGGTTCATTAGAGACGCAGTTCAAATGGAAGATTCCTAGCCTCTTTATTCCCTAAGAATTGATATGTACTTTTCTATTTTTAAGCTGAAAAATTGTCTTGATCACCTCTTGTAGTTACATTATTATCTGTATAATGTGTAATTTTCATATACCTTAGAGAAATCTTTCCAACCAAAGTTCTCTCTTAGTAGACCGTGTAGTAGCTTTTACATCCCAGCCAACTACTCTTTAAGAAGCCCCCAATAAAAGTATCATGTTCAAATATCAGCTACGAATTTAAATCAATTTAAGATAGAGTAAGGGAAAATTTTTATGTTAGAAACAACTTCTCTTAAAACCCAGATATACTGTGTACTTGTTTATTAAATGAGGAATTATGTCAAAGATGATTAGGATTGAATAATCGTTGACAATTGTGGAGTACGTTTTGTAGTCTAAGACTTTGTGCAGAAATCTTGGTTTCTTAGAAGGGGAAAAATTGTCAAATTTTAAACTTTTAGTACTTACACATAGGGTCACAGAGACCGTATAGTTGAAATAAAATAACTTTTATCGCATCTCCGCCTAAGACGCAGCATTAACTGTTTACCCTCTTCTATGGTTTGAACGGTTGCCAAAGAGCCTTCGTTGTGGTCGATATTTATCGCCCCCCACCAAACCAGGCGGTAGATAATGACCGGTCATAATTGTTGATAATTTAGAAAACTGATAAATGTAAAATGATTTCCAAGACTGGAAAAAGTTTACAAAACAAAGTCTGATAAAAGCAACACTCTTATAAACTAGCCTAATAACGCAGATATATTCCCACAAGTGAAAGCCACTAAACGGCTTCAAACCCTAGAAAATTGATTGGTTTTCTTGACTCTGGCCCTCTTATCTGACTCGTAACCTAAAGTTTAGAAAATGAAAATAATGATTTGTTTAAGGGCCTTTCCGAAATCTTGAATTTTGTGCCAAAAGACGGAGAGGAAATTTGGCGCTTGCCAGTCTGAACAGTTTTCAGCTGTTGTGTTATGATAGTGACGTTTGCTGATAATTTTAATCTTCTTTTTTTAAGCGTATCAGTTTCCATAGGTAGCGTATGTTAGATGTCATCAAGCACAACCCATAAAATCACTCGCAATGCTTTTTACTGAATTTTGTAAAGCATAAGACGCACTTCATGCCTATGCAAGGTCTGCCTGTTCTGGACTCCTTTTTTTTTTTAACTACACTCGTCTTTTGCTAAAGAATTTTGCATGTGGAATGTTCTTGTTAATTCCAGAGAAACCAGTTTTCTTTATCCTGCTTGATGAGTTTGCACTTTATTCTTCATTTGGTAATTTTTTTAATGTTTGATTAAAAAAAAGGACAAAACAAAAAGTCGGAAGGCTTATCGATAAAAATTTTTTCTCCGATCTTTCGCCAAGATTTTTTCCAAAAGATTGTCTGGCAATCTTTTGAACGCCTTAAGTAAATTGTTCTGTTAATCGTACTTCTTTGGCGATAATATTTCAAGCCTGAAAAGGAAGCAACGACAAAAACAAAGAAAAATCTGCGCACAGTGCATTCCTCTGAGTCCATTGCAGCTTAATACAGCTCAACATTAACTTAACAACGAATGTCAAGCATTAAAAGGAGTAGATTCCACTCCTTGTGATGACACATAAGATTGGGCGGAGGGAACATATTTCATGCATCCTATGAGGATTAATAGAACATTCTCGGGAAATGAACTTGATGGCATTTTATGAATTGTGTTTTCAGGGGAACCTAAAAAATTTTCTTGTGTGGTTTTAATTTTTGGAGCTTTTACATACTCATACTCATTGTCAAATTTCTTCCACTGCATTTAAACAATCTCTAGGAATAAAGTCGCAGGAATGGAAACGCGAAAAAATGTTTCAACTAGTAGTTCACCTCATTTTTCCCATCTTCTAAAAAGTAAGATAAGATATATCTGCAGCTACAAAAGATAATCATAATAGGAAGTCATTAGTGCCATATAGCTTAACAGCAGGGGGGCTTTAGTGCTAACTCGTTGAAGGATTAAGGCAGTACTTTAAGAAATGAACTTGGTAGAAACGAAAGGAGGGTCGACTGAAATTTGATGTCAAGTTCAAGATATAGCGTAAACATTCATGTAGACGTTGAAATGTTTTTTTGTCAGATATGGTCTAGATGGACTTGTGAATCACATTTAATATAAAAGAATAGAGAATCTTTCGTTGCTGATAAAAATTACAGGAGCCAATTATCGTTTCATAAACGAAAGACGTGATGGTACGTATTAATCTCTTGTAGGCTTAAATCCTGTCTCTTAGACGGCTGGATTATGATTTGAAGAGAACTTATCTGCAACTTAGACATACAGATAAGAATATTTCAATGAAGGAGACGATAAGACTACATGCACATTGCCCACATCTGTTAAATCTGAAGGGAAGACAGTGTTCCCTTCTTCTGCTAGTGGGGCTGAATAATTGAATTATGTTTTTTTTCATTTTACTCCAGAAAAATGTCAATTAACTCAACATTCATTTACGATAGTGGCACCCTAAACTAGCTGCGGGGGTGCTGCAAATTCCCTCAAAGAGGTAAAGCAAAATGATATTCTTAACCATTCAAAAACTTTTTTTCCTCAAGCCTATTCAACGGTACTTTGTTTGACATTGTCCGCGTTTAAGTGGATAATAATTAGTCAGTGTTAAATATCAGGCATATTTGGAGTGTATTGCTAAAACCGTGACCTGTTTTGGAAAAACTCAATACTTCAGTGCTATTTAATTACTATCGAATGTCAGCGTACCGAATAAGGTGTGAGATAAAACATGCTGGCGTCTCAAACATTGACTGTGCTTTAGTGGCCTCAGAAGTGGGCCAATTAAAATTGTATTATACTGAATAGACCACTTGTGTTTCATCGTAATCTTCCTTAATGCACATATACCAGGATAGTCCTAGACAAGTTCACCGATCAGACATGGAAAGACGTCCTTCACACTCAGTCAAAGGAGGATTAGAATTCCCCCATTGCATGACTCGAATCAGTCACCAAATTCCAAATTAGATTTAATTTAATAGAAATTAAATCACAGGGCAAAATAATAAATGACGCAATCACAATGCTATGCTAAGGGTCATACCTTGCTTTTAAAATTCATCCGGACTAGGAACACGATATATTTGTATCTGTAAGCCTGTAATAATTTCCGATTCTGCTTTGATTTTTTTAAGTTTTGATATAAAGTAATGCACACTGAATGTGATATGCGGAGGATTTTGGTTGTGTCATGATAAAATTTACCTGATCCCTCTTAAGGCTCTGTAGTTTTCTAGTAATCTCCCCCACTCATTGACAGTCAGTTTCTGTGGTCTCCCCCATTTTATACTTTATTAGTAATGACTAATGCCCCACCTTCCCTTTACCCCACAGGCGAAAAAAATGACAGGTCCCAATAGTGTGTAAAAACAACTCTCTTCCTTTATAATCTGTATTTAACTCTGCATATCCATGAATAGGGCACTTAAGGATAAGTGAAACAACTTAAATGTACTGTGTGTTCCGTCATTTTTATATAACCCTGGCTATATACAACAGTGTGAACGTGTTCTGTTACCTCACACCTGCCTGAGTATTAGTCCTCTCAGACGATAAAAAGTATGTATTGCTCAGGAATGGACTTTTTCATAAAACAATGGTTGTAATAGAAAACAACAAGAAACAGAAAGACAATCATCACACATATATGTAAAGCAAATGCAAACTGGATTAGTGTAACTGCAAAGATAATTGATGAAAACAATTCCGTAAGGGCTGATACCTTGAAAGTAGAACTTAGTGATATGAATATCGAAAAAAGAAAACAAAATAAAAGGTAGGCAATAGAGGATCATTCTCAATAACACAAGATACCTCTCTTTTTATAGCATTCAGAACTAAATTAGATATTTCCTGGATGTGTTTTCTCTTTCTTCAGATCTTGAAAAGGACATTGTGTGTGCCAGTGTACGGATAAATTGGGAAATAGAAGTAGCCTTTCCCATTCCCCGTAAATTTTGACAATGATGGTGGAAACTAGAAGAAAAAAAGGCAAATTTTCTTGTAGAATTGTTTATTCTTAGTGGTTATTTAGGAAAGGAAAGTGCAGGCGCAGTATGGATTGATGTTTAGGAAAGGGATGGAAAGTGTTTTATAATGAAGGAGAGCTGATCAAATTGAAGTGCGTCTCCATTCAAGAAAATCAAAATTTGAAATGTGAATCTTTCCGTGTTTCTATAGAGAACCATTTCAAAGTTCCAAAGCTGAAATCTTGATCAAGACGCTTAGTAAAGCGACACTAGAAAAATTA